AAAAGCACTTCACAGAATATACTGTAAAGTGAATTGACTGTATACTTTGTGGGTGAAACACGGCATCCAATTGCACACAGTATGCCACCCAAACAGTCGTGGATTGAAGTGACCAATTTATTTATTTATTTTTTTGAAGGAAATATTATCCCCAGAAAAGTGGTTCGCCAATCGACTAACAACTGGGTTCCTACTAACTGCTAGGTAGTGTGGAGCTAGGTGTGGAGTCCTGTAGCTCAGTGGTTAGAGCACTCGCTTTGCAAGCGAGAGACCTGAGTTCAATTCCAGGCAGAGGGCGAAACCTTGGGCAAGTTTCCTTACTCCACACGCCTCATAATAATCCCTCCAAAAACCAAAAACAATAATAAATTGGTCATTTTCAATCTACGACTGTTTGTGGGACATTGCTGTGCGCAATTGGCTGCAGCGTTCGCCCACAAATATACAGTCAGTTCACTTTACAGTGTGTTCTGTGAAGCGCTTTGGGACGTCCTCCCGACGTGAAAAGCGCTATATCAAATGCAAGGATTATTATTATTATTATTAGGTAAACAGAGGCATGTGGAGTAAGGAATCTTGCACAACATTTCACCCTGGGATAATAGGAAACTAGATGTAAGATAGCAGCTTCCACCCCCGCCCCCCACCCCCACCCCACCATTACCATGACGTCTCGATTTTGCAAAGGCGAAGGAAGCATGTGACATGGCTCTGAGGACCTATTTTTGCCTCCTGTGTGGCCATTGTAATATAGGATGAGGATGTGTGAACAGTAAATTAAAGCCTCGTCTGATACAGACATGCACTCACAAATTCACTACGCTCTCTTTCAACTCAGTGTCAAAGTGAAAGCTTGGCTCAGCTCCACACTTCATTCAGCTTTTGGAAAAATACAAGAGCCAAAGCCTATCCGAATCAAACTCTCCCGAAGCCTGGGTTGGCTCACGTCAGCCCCGCTGTTTAGTCTTGTGCTCAGATCATCCCTGGATGGATTGAATAGAATAAACAATGTAACTAAAACACTTCACAGATACTTTAAACAGAATATTTTAGTTATTTATAATGAATGTGTTGCCTAATTAATGAAAGAGACTCTATGTCAAGTTGTTACGTGTCCTTTTGTATCCCCAGCTTGGGGGTCAAGCTCTGCCATTGAAAATACTCCGAGATGCTACCCTGCATTTATATAAGTGCAAGTTGTTGCTGTTATTATTGAGGACATAGCTACAGGGGCCACCACCAAAGATTAAATATCCTGGTTCTCAAGAGGAGCAGAGCAGCAACTGAAATGACATGATCAGAAGAGAGACTCAAATGTGGAAGGCCCTTCATCCTATTTAATCTCATCCTTCCTGAACACAAACCCTACTATTTTAACATTGCAGCATAGTTAACCTAGTCCAGCTGTTGTTTTTGCCTCTGTGTGATAAAGAAATGCTTCATGGTGTCCTTCACAACTCTGAACCTGTCACCACTTGCCCTGCTGCCTTAGCATATCTGAAAGTGTTGTCGGGAATTGCACAGGGAGCAGCTCATTATTTCCTTGATGGATCTTCAGAGGAGAGGCTGAACCAACAACACACAATTAAACGAACAACTAATATGGCTTTGAAAAGCAAAATCTCCACCTGCAAAGATAGCAAATAGCAATTGATCAGATGAATTATTGGTGGGAGACCTGAAGAACTCTGTTAGAGATGATGTAAAGAGATGAAGAGAAAAGAGTACAGGTGGACAAGCAAAAGATTAAAGTTCAAATATCATGAAAAGTAAAAAAAAATTCCCTTTTGTTTGAACGGTTATGGCATTTTATCGTTACCTTGTTTAAATGGTACACCAGAGTGCATTTAGCAAACATTTATTACATATATTGGCACGTGTAAAAGAGATTCTTTTCCTGCAAATCAGATTTGGTGCAGAAAATAGGAACAGTCCCTTTAACATATAAAGGGATTGTATTATCCAAGGTTAACAGATACGTGTTCCCTGTGTTAGTTTAAGTAAGTGGACGTGTCAGCATGGTATCTCCCTGAATCAGCAGATTTCAGAAATGTTCCCATTATCCTGCTGTAGGACCTACTAGGTCACGCCTGGGTTCAGTCAACACTCAGTAGAATGACCAACTATACAGGGCCTCTGTAACGCAGTCCCCGCCAGCTCAGTTGTGGTCTGTAGTGTTATTAGTTACGGACTTGATAGTATAACGGCCTGTATAGCAGCGATAAGTAAAATCAATATAATCATATCATACGGGTTCTGTTTAGGGATGAATAGTTCAAAGTCATTAGAATTTTGGGCATCTGATCAATTGAAGCTGGATTTAAACCTTTTGTCAGCTTGTTTTACATTTACATCACTGATGGTTAAAGCATGCGTTATTCTGTACACACAATGACTTCTTTAACCTCTGTTGATTCCCTTTAGTGACTAAATGGTATGAAAAAGATCAACCAATTGAGTTGATGTAAAAAACCTTTTACATAGAATAAATTGATAGTTCTTAGATACTTCAACAATGACTGACATATCGTGCCTTTAACGTAGAATGAATGGTTCAACGCACCAACTAAGATAGGAGATAGAAGAATATTCACTAAAAGCACGGTCAAAAAGATACATTTTTAGGAGGGTTTTGAAGGTGGGAAGAGAGGAAGAAAGGTGCACAGCTATCTGAATCTTGATGGCGGAGTGTATCAATTTGTGTACAGGTTTGTGTGCACGCATTGAAGAGAAAGATAACATTTTATGGCATGTAGGAGACTTCACAACATTGACAACCAAGAATAAGAACGGACATACTGGGGGAGCCAGATCTGAGAGGGGAAAAAGGGAAAAAAAATCCACAGGAGGGGAACAAAGAAGAAAATACAGCGAAAGATAATAGTGCTAATCATTCCACACAACTCAGTAGCATGACAGAACAACAGTGGTTGGTTGCACAACATGATTCACAATAGTCTGTCATCACATTGGTCTTTTGGGAATGTCAAAAGAATGGGATTTACTCCCTTGATGGCACAGGCTCAGCACAATTCTGGCAGACGATGCCTCTGGAACACAAAGGTTAGTACTGTTTGGCTTTGCACAGAGAGTTAATCCCTGATAGCTTGCTGCAGTTTTTGTTTTACATAAACCCTAAACTGTTTGGTTAGGTGAAAGCTTGTGTGTTTTTTTGGACTGTTTTTTTTTCAATTTGAGGCCATTCAGCATGGTTCAGTGCAACCATGCTGCTAGTTTGTGCTTCCGTAAGTCTGAGGACTTCTTAACAAAGACTTTTTTTTTTAAAAAATTCAAATTCCTCGGAAAACTGTGGATTTCAGGAGACTGAAGGTAGGAATGCTTTAGCTCTGTTTGAATATGGATTTGTTTATCGTTTACTTGGGAAATTACACAACTAAATTGATGGGTATGCCTCTGCTCACTTTCCGGTTCCATGTTAGTTTCATGTGCTGTTTTAGATGGCTTGGCTTGGCTTGACTTGTATGTTCAGGGCAAAGGCTGGATCATGATGCTGGTCCAATTGCTTTGCGTACAAGCAGGTTTCACACTGTATGTTTCTTTGTATTGCTTATTTATGATCCAATTTTTGTTTCTTATGATGTAAAAGGTAAACTAACTTGAGAACTGCAGTGTCTGTAAGCAAACAGGGTTCTGGTCTGAGATCAGCAATGAAGCAAATTTGTGTTCACTAATTGTGTTTTGTGCTTTAAAGAGGGCAAAGCATGCTTTTTTTTTAAGGGCTTGCTTGAATGGGTCTAAATTTGCGCTGTTTGTTAATGGGTTTCTTCAATGAGAAATCCCTCTGATCGGCAGAAACTCCACTCTGGGAATACATTGCATCAGAGTGGTATTCCTGAGGGATTAGTTACTTCCGTTTACTGGAAAGCAAACTGGATTCCTTACATTAAATAATCCTGATAAGAAATACTGTGAGTTAGATCCTGACATTTCTCTACACTTGGATAAGTCTTAAATTATTTCAAATCGAGTATGAAATGTCTGGCTCTGTTGGCTCCCTATCCCACAGCCATTCAACATTACGATTCTCATCTCAGGTGAGATGACCTTCTTTCTTCATCTCCTGCAACGGCAACTTCCCTCTGATTCATTATCTGATCTGCTTAATGTCCCCTGCCTGCTCCCCTCCATCATTGGCAGAGGAGCCCTCTGCCACTTTGCCATACCCTCTCCCTCTATAATTCTCTCTCCAGATCCTCCAACCTTGTCCCCTCTCTGCTTTCAAATTCTGGCTGAAGATCTACCTCTTTGACTGTACTTTCGGCCACAGGCAACCCCCTCTCTCAGCTCGGGCTCCCGCTCAGTTTTTGTAAAGCACTTTGAGACGTCCTTCTAACATGAAAGATAATAATAATAATAATAATCCTTGCATTTGATATAGCGCTTTTCACGTCGGGAGGACGTCCCAAAGCGCTTCACAGAATACACTGTAAAGTGAATTGACTGTATATTTGTGGGCAAACGCGGCAGCCAATTGCGCACAGCAATGTCCCACAAACAGTCGTAGATTGAAAATGACCAATTTATTATTGTTTTTAGTTTTGGAGGGAATATTATTAGGCTCTGTATGGAGTAAGGAAACTTGCCCAAGGTTTCGCCCTGCCTGGAATTGAACTCAGGTCTCTCGCTTGCAAAGCGAGTGCTCTAACCACTGAGCCACAGGACTCCACGATGCTATGTAAGTGCAATTGGTTCTTGTTATTTTGGTAACTTTTGTAGCTGACAAATGTCAGATGAAGTGGCTTTGTAATGTAATACCAACTGAGAGATATTTTAAGCAGAGAATTGCATAGCTTGTAAGGGAATTAGGTTACCTCATGAGATGGCAGCATGATTCCGACACATTTATTTCTGGAATAAACAGCACAGAAAAAAAATGTGTTCCGCCCACAAAATGCACAGTTAATCCACTTTACAGTATATCCTGTGAAGCCCTTTGAGACTTCTCGACGATGTGATAAGGAACTATATCAAATGCAAGGATCATTATTATTATTCCCATTTTTTTTATTGAGAAGCTTAGTCTTCGGGTGAAGGCCTACAGCATCAGAAAGCAGGACAGAACAGGAGAGATGGTGAGAAACAATAAAAAAAAGAGTGGTTCGATAATCCATTGTTGGCAAAGTTGGCTGTTAAAAAGTGATAGATTTCAGGCCTAAGGAAACGTGTGTGTGTGTGTGGGGGTGGGGGGGGGGGGGAATGGGGGAGGAGTTTCAGAGGTAAGAGATCCTGGAAAAGCAGAGATCTTACCAACACGGTAAGGTGCGTGATGGGAGAAGAGCATGAAGCAGAGCATATTTGATGGAACGCGAATGGAGAATTCAGAGGAATTCTGTCAGAGGAACGAGCGAGGGAGATCAGAGTGTTAAAATCAGCAGGTTTTAATTTCATGGGTAAAATTACTGAGTCTGATTCTGGATTTTATTTCTGGCCATTTTCATAAGGTTAAGATTTGTCTCAGAACAAAACCTGCTAAAAAAAGATTAAGTGTGGCACGTCTCTAGAGTATTTAATTTAAAAGTATTGGTGGCATTGTCGACTGTGGGGTGATTGAATCTGTGCACATCATCTCAGTAAAAAAAATCTTTTTGTGACAACTCTGTAATATCTGCTGGGCAGTTGTGTTTGTATTTTTGAGACAGCAATTTTGAATAGATCTATCGCACTGATTCTGTGAGTTCCCCGATCTCTGCGCTCCACCATCGGTAGCCATGTCTTCAACCACTACAGCCCGAACCCCTGGAACGCCCTGCATCAATCTCTCTGCCTTGCCCTCCTTTACCCATCTTTAAATTGCATTTGTAGACTTTCCTATTCAAGATCCTCATCCTCACCTACAAGGCCATTCACGGCCTTGCTCCCTCCTACCTCTCTGACCTACTATCCCCCTAGCTACCTGCCCGTACCCTCCGTTCCTCTGGCTCCGGTCTGCTCCACATCCCCCGCCCCAACCGCCCTACCATCGGTGGCCGGGCCTTCAGCCTCTCAGCCCCTAGGCTCTGGAACTCTATCCCCCAGTGCCTTCGCCGCCTCCTCCCTTTCCTCCTTCAAGGCCGGTCTCAAGACCTTTCTCTTTGACCGTGCCTTCAGCTCCCCTCTCGACTCTCTACCCCCTCCTCGCTCCCTCCCTTCCCTCCCCTCACCCTGACTATTTCCCCCTGCTCGGGTCCTGACCCAACAGTACAGCGCCTTGGGACGTCTTCCCGACGTGAAAGGCGCTCTATAAATGGAATCTTGTTGTTGTTGTTGTTGACTGTGTCCTACAGTCATCTCTCCTTTCCCCCGGCTTGGCGTTAAACCTCGCCATTGTTCAGCATTCTGAGAAGCTGTCCCACGTGAAGGGCGGTATATAAATGCAAGTTGTTAATTCCTTTCAATCAATTACTTTGTATAGTTTTATCTACTCAGGTTTTTCTGTGAATTGGTAGTTTGCTTTATTAAAGTCAACAGTCGGTCGAGCAATTCAAACCTCTCGTGCCAGGGACCTGTAATTTAAACCTAGGTTTCATCACAGAGACAAGGACCAGAGCGGTTTCCTAACCAGAACTAATCTCAAGTGTGGGTTTTAAACTTAACCCGGATCGGATCGTTCACTCTTTGGATTGTGATGGTGAAGTAAAGAAACCAAACAACAACAGAACAGCGACAAACAGCGACAAATGGCTCCAGTGAACCACAGGTTCTCCTGTGAAATATTCACCTATTCACCTCTGGCAAAGTGAGACGCGGAGATACTGCACGGCTTGCAAGTCCTTCCTACCACCACCAACACCACCATCACCTGTCCCCCACCTCACAGCCTTTTACAGCCACATAAAATATGTTCCTTACAACAACAACTGCATTTATATAGCACCCTTCATGCCGGGTAGGGTCCTGGAGTGTTGACCAGTGTCACCAAATGCTTCTAAATTGAGATTTAAAGACCCTAGTAAAAACCCCAGGCCTTCTGATCCACAGCGTGTTCACCCCAATATGTTTGGTCCAATTGACCAATTTTATTTGAGGGATTCCTCGCCGGAACACTGGGGGAAACTCTCTTCTTGTGATAAACCATAAGGGAACCAGAGGGTAGTGAATACGATTAGTGTCTTTTCACCTCTTAGAACTAGCCCAGCACCCAGAGCAATGGAATACAGAGAGAACTTGCCATTGGATGAACATGGCCCAGACGATCCATTCCAAAAGACCGGCAGGTTGGGTGCTTGTCTTCCACAGGCTCGATGTTACACAATGAGGTGTGGGACTTATAAATGATACTTCCCACTCCCCGACACATCACTGCTTGGAAGTCAATTGGCTTCACATTTAAAATGTTTTGGAGTATTTAAAATTTCCATACATTTTTATTTGTCCCATGTCCTCACTTATGTTAAGACGACTGACAGTTTGCATTAAGTTATGGTTTCAAAACTGCTCCCATTAATAGTCCATGGAAATGTCGTGGGAAGTATTCGAACAACTTTGCTAGCAGGTTTCGCCACATCTGCTAATGCACTCAAGTGAATCCAAGCTTCAAATCACGCACTGCAAAACATTTAACTGTAACTTGTACAATCCCGCACCCCACGCTCCTCTCTCCCTCCATTATTACTTTTACATCTATCACCACACCACTCCACAAACACAGCCTTTAAAAAGGAACTTTCTTTAAAGCCAGAACATGCGTGCATCTCTTTGAAATTCACAACATTATGATATGCATAATAATAATTTTATTAATTTTTATTATTACTTTATTATAATACGAGGACATTGTTTTAAAATTCACAACATTGAAAATCAAGAGCAGGAGAAGGGTGATCAAATTCACTTCACCACAAACTATCATTCCCCTAATCCCACCTCTTCACCGTCCCTCCACATTACTTAATATTTTCACTTCCCAAGTATCTTTCCATCGCTGCCTGAAATCCCTCAACCAATTCATCACTTATGGCTTTCTGGGTAGTGCTGTTCCAGATTCTTATTAATCTCTGTGAGACAAAATCCCCTCGATTCTAAGCCGTTTTGCTTTAATTTTTAAGGTCATGTCCTTTTGGAATTGGTTGACCAGTCGGGGAAAATGTTGTTTATCAATTGCAATGTTTATGATCATCAGCAAAACAATCGAATCAGCCCCTGTTATCTTTCTTGTGAAACGTATACTGCCTCAAGTGCGAGTAGAGATTAAGCAACTTGCTGGTGTGTTGGCTAAATGCTGACGAGAACCTATTTTGTTAGGGACTTTTGACCATACCACTTACTGCGGGTTGATTGGTTTCTCACTCCAACATCTGGTTCGCCATCTCTTTTTTTTCTCTCAACTGGGGGCAAGCCCAGTTTGTAGCTCTTAATTCATCTACCTGTTCCAGGTTATCCCATGACAGAATTATATTTTAAAAAACTCTTTCCAAAGTTTTGAAAGATTATAATAGAACCTTGTAAAATGTGCATATAAGGCGGGTTCACTTATAGGGCAATTGGGGTGCAAACCCTGATACTTACTGACCACAAAATCTAAATAAGCAGAAAGTCCGAGGGCCAGCTTGCTTCAAATTCATGTTTCACTTCAAAACGCCGGCAGGTTTCTACTGTACTAAAATGTTGTACTAGGTCATCAGGTCACACCAACATCTTTTCCTGCACTTTGCACATACACATTGACCGCAAAGACTGCACAGAACTGTGGAAAATTCTTAAATTCAATCTGAATTTGAAAGCCAGCTCATTTTAAGAACTGTGGAAAATCTGCTTCTAAATTATAATTGGATTCAACAATGTTCCACAATTCTGAGAGATTTTACATTTTAAGACAATATGGTCTCACAGACTATTATAAACCTAGCTAGAATGTTGAGCTGCAATTGTGAGTTACAGAAGCTAGTGTGGCACATGTGGTTTATTTTCCACAGACGGTTGAGCTTTTTAAAAATATTTTTACAGAAATACAATATCATTGTAATATTTTGCATTTTGTTTCCAATAGTTTGAGGTGTTATTGTTCCGAGTTTTGCTACACATTGCAAAATGTTTTCACTGATACTGAGTCTGGTGCTGGAGCTTGGTGGGTAAGGGTGAGGGTGAGGTGTGCATTTTAAAGTAATCATAAATGAAAGGTGGGGGGTTTAAGAGTTCCTGCGTTGTGATTCATGGTGTAAAATTGAATGGAGACCACGTTTTTCCATTATCCTGTTAGTTGTCTTAATAAAGTGTCATAAAGGAACATAGGACCAGGAGTAGGCCATTCAGCCTCTCGAGTCTGTTCGCTATTCTATACGATTATGGCTGATCTGTAGATCAACTCCAATTACATGCTCTTGCCCCATATATCTTGATACCCTTACCTAAAAAATATCTATCCATACTGGAAAGCAATGACACTACAGTTGGTGGAGTTGATCACTTTGCTCTAGCAAACTTTTTGTGGATCGCTCATGGCAGACATACATTTCAAAGTCTAAATTATGAAACTCAATGTTTTTTTTGGTGCTTTGCCACATGAAAAAAAACATATTTATCCAGACCAGACAAAGTTCCACTATTCCATGTTATTATTCCTCAGAATTCCCTTTGATTTTTGTATGTTTTAAAAATCGATCCAGAGGGACATATGAATGTTAAAGACTTCCCACCAGAGCCACAATACTGTACTACTAATTCATGCAAACGAGGAAGTTCACATTTGTAGGTGAACAGGAAGAATTGTCTAAGTTGTGACAATCATCAATGGTGATCCTCAAACATTATTTACCTCATTGAGGTGACCAGATTTCAGTTTTGAAGATTTTGAAGGCGACTGGTAAAGTTTGAATCAACCAAATTGCCCACAATGTTAAAGGGTTTCAACTATCAGGGGCCAGGTTAAAAAATAAGGGAGTGGAGTTGGATTTAAAAAGGACTAAATCAATAATAATAACCCTTGCATATGATATAGTGCCTTATCACGTCTTCTAGACATCTCAAAGCACTTCACAAAATATACGTAAAGTGAACTGACTGTATATTTTGTGGGCGAAATGCAGCAGCCAATTGCACACAGCTGAGTCCCACAAACAATGGATTGAATGACCACATTATTTTTTTTTGAAGGGATTATAACCCCAGAAAAGCGATCTGCCAATCGACTAACAACCAGGTTCCTACTTACTGCTAGGTAAACAGGTCTGTGGAGTAAGGAAACTTGCTCCACATTTCACCCTGCCTGGGAATTGAGCCAGGTCCTCTTGCTTGCGAGGCGAGTGCTCTAACCACTAAGCTACAGGACTCCAATTCTTCCCGTGAATCTTATTTATTTGGGTTTCTTGATAATGCATTTCATAAACAGCAGAATAACTCAGAGAAAAATATGATTCAGTACATAACTTCAATGGAGCTCAAGTATATGTAGAACTTCCATATTCTGATTTGTAGCTTCATGCATGCTGTACTTTCATGTTTTCATGTTGGCTGTCACATAAGAATAGCAATCGTTGCATATAATGTCTTGTTCATACCTTCATCACTTCCAGGCTCGACTATGCAAACGCCCTGCTTGTCGGCCTTCCCAACTACTCCCTCCACAGGCTGCAGATAATCCAGAACTCTGCAGCCCTTGTCCTCTCCCGCACCAAACTCCTTGACCCCATCTCCCCAATTCTTGCCCAACTCCATTGGCTCCCTATCCTTCAGAGGATCCAGTACAAGATCCTGGTCCTCACCTACAAAGCCCTCCATGGCCTCGCCCCACTCCACCTCTGTGACCTCCTAACCCTCTACCAACCAGTCCGCTCCCTCCGCTCAGTCGACTCTGGCCTGCTCCACGTCCCCCGAACCACCCGCCCCACAATTGGCGAGAGAGCCTTCAGCCACTCTGCCCTCCTCTTCGACCATGCCATTGGTCACCCCCCTTCCCCTCCCTCCCTTCTCCCCCCTGACCCCAGCTTGGGTCTGAAATGCTGTACACTGTCCAGCGCCTTGGGACGTTCTCCCGACATGAAAGCAGCTATACAAATGTAATCTTGTTGTTGTTGTTATCCCATCCTCCAAACTTCTCAAAGCACATCACAGAATTTTACTGTAGAGTACACCAAGTGTGTAATTTTGTATACAAACACAGGCAATTTGCACACAACAATGTCCCACTAACAGCCTTGAAAAGAGTGAACAATTTTATCTGGGGGACTGTTGGCCAGAATAATAGGAGAAACTCCCTTCTTTTTTGGACAGTGCCATATGACCTTTAATGTCCACCTGAACAGGCAGACAGGAACTTGGTTTAATGTCTAGCCCAAAGGCTAGCACCTCCAACAATGCAGGGCTCCCCTCAGTGGCAGACTGGCCTATGAGCTCAAAGTCATCTACAACTTATTTTACTCTGTTTAAAAATGGACCAGTTAAATATTTAATTTTAAAAATCCACCTGAGAAATGTGAAATCATTTATGAAAGTCAAGGGATCCAAAGCAGGAACTCACTAGACTTTTGATTAGTGGATACCTGATCCTATAAAGGCTGTTTCTAGAGAGAGTCACTGCTGGTTGTACAATGCAAATTGCAATGGACTTGTACACTTATGGTATTCATCATACAAAACAAGTTCCAATTTTTTTTGCTTAGAATTTGTTTTCAATTTTTTTTATTCACGTAAAGATGTTAAGAAAAGAGTCCTATTGGTTTCATTTCTACAACATATTTTATATTCCTTATATATTTTTGATTTATAAGCAAAGACAGAGCCCATTCTGTTAGTTCTGGCTTTCTGAGAGAGCTATCCATTTCCTTCCATTCCCCCATTTCCTTTTAGATTTGTCCTTCTCAGATATTTATCCAATTCCCTCATAAAAGTTAATATGAATACTGTTTCACCAACAGACACAAAACAATGTTTCAAAAAAACATTCTCCTTTGTTCTATTAAGGACAAACTGAATAGATGTTCATGAAGTAAAGGCACAATGTGGGGGAAATGTACTATACTAGAAGCAAACATGTAATGAAACTGCTTCTGTCAAATTATTTCCATCATTTGCTGGGGTTTCCAGGCACTAATGCACAAAATTATCTTCCTCTAACAGATGGACTGCATTATTAGTCTTTCTCATCCTGTAGCTTCCCATGCTTCAACCTTCAAGTGTTTCTTCCCCCTTGTCAGTGAATAGTTCTGCTTCGCAAAAAGTCTCATAAAAGTAGCACTAAAACACATTCTAAGTGTTCAGGCAAGTTGTCTTACTTAGCTCCAGGTATAATGACTTAGTTTTCTTGTTTTTCTCTGTTTAGGGATTTTCTTTTTAAAAAAGTGACTTTTTGGTAACACCCAAATTAGATTTTGGACTTGCTTGGCCCTCAACGAATGGTGAGTAAGGCGTCCAGCTGAGGAATCCCAATTGGAGTACAAAACTTTTTGTTTAGTTTTCTACTTGTACCAGCAGTCACCTGTACCAGCCAGATTTGACTACTGCACTCTTCAACTTTCAACGCTGCACCCAAAATATGCATGCATCTTCAGCTCATGTAAAAAGGCAGAGGGCCATCAAGTGCAGGGAAATTTTGCTTTTGGGATGTCCAATCTGGATGAACACTGTTCAAGCCAACGCAACTCTAGCAGAAAAGAATCCCTTCTAAGATAAAGAGGCATACCCGCAAGCAACAGTCTAAGAGCCACTCCAAGAATTGCACTGGTGGAAGCAGGACCTTAGAATGCTCTAAGGATCACAGTGGAGCCAAAGCCTTGGAATTGACAGGTGATGGTTCATCTACCTCAACTCATAGCTCATCAGGTGACAGTACACAGCATAAATTTCTGACTCAGCCCAGCTCACAAAACATGGATGGAAAAGACACTAAGACCTTTTCGGAAACCGGTCACCTATCAACATCAGAAAGCAATCCAGATATAGACAGGTACGTCATTTTTTGCTGTTCCTAGATTGCCCCCTCAATTATCTGTGGCAACAGATGGTTTTGCTTTGAAGCCCACTCCATATTGCTTATCTCCATTTGAGGTCTCTTCCTAGTCTAAAGACATCTACACTACATACAACTCATTTCAGTGGAGACATCAACCGTGAGTCGTTACTGAGACCAACTTTGAATAATGTACTATACAGCCCACGTAAAATGAAAGACTTGCCATGAATGGATATGTTACTGTATTCTGATTGTGTATACAACATTGGCTAGACTGCATGTTGTATACTATATGTAAATTTTGAGCACCTTTCTTTCAAAGGGATTATTGATGCGTAGATTGTATTACTCCATTGATTTTTACTACTGTTGTAATAATGATGAACTCACTTAGGACTCCACTCCACTCACTATCTTAAACTCCACTCACTATCTTACACTTTGGACGAGTTGTTGGGATATGGAGGGGCCTGCCCCTCAGTGTATTAATATGACTTACATGAGGACTTTAAAGATATTGATTGGAAAATAATAATGATAAATATTAGTAATAATAATATTCTCTGCATTTGATAAAGCACCTCATCACATCCTTGAAACTTTTAAAATCGCTTTTGATTTACTATCAAGTGCACTGACTGTATGTTTTTGGCCAACGGGACAGCTAATTTATGCACAGCAATGTTGCACAAACAACAAAAAGTGTGAATGACCAATTCTAGGAGATTGTTGGCCAGAACACTGGGAGGAACTCCCTTCACTTTTCGAGCAGTGCTGTGGGATCTTTAAAATCTACCTGATCAGGCAGACAGGACTAATTGCTGATTTCTACTAACCTCAAGAGGTCCTAATTAATTTGCTATGAAACAATTCTTCATGATCATGCTGAGAAATAGTGAAGAGCTTTTCGGCCTTTGTCTCTTCAAGCAAATCAAAGCCCCAATGCAGTTTAAGTTTTTGACATAATAATCCTTGCATTTAATATAGCGCCTTATCACATTGTCGAGATGTCTCAAAGCGCTTCACAGGATATAATGCAAAATAACATAACTGGGTATTTTATTGGCTAAGCACGGCAGCCAGTTTGTGCACAGCAATGTCTCACAAACAGCCATGGAGCAAGTGACTGATTTTATTTGGTGGATTGTTGGCCAGGACATCGGGAGAGAGAAACACCCTACACTTTTTGAATAGTACCATGGTATATTTAATGTATGCCTGAACAGGCAGACAAGACTTTGGTTCAACATCTCATCTGAAGAATGGTGCTTAACCCAGCACTACATTGGAGTGTCAGCTTAGACTATGTGATTCCGAGTCCCAACATGGGGCTTGAACCCACAACCTTCTGACAAAGAGGTTAGAGTGCTACTACCGAGACAGGCCAGCACATTGGGACAAGGATTTTGACATACATGTGGCATACGTGTCAAAATTGCTGTCCCCATCCTTGGATTAGAGCCTATAGGAAGAACTCTTGTGGCCATTGAGTGAGATCGAGAACCAGTTTGCAACCTATCAAGCTTAAAATAGTTATCGGCACTCATTATTCTGTTCTTTGCATGTATTCTTATTGTAGCAAGCAAAAATGCAATGCTTTCAGTAACAGTTTGGGCCCTAGGGCCTCAGGAAAGCTTCTGGATTCTTCCTTCTGCATTATGCAAGTTAATTTTCAATTGATTTGAGGTCAAAATCCAGCAGTTTCAATCTTTTTGCTGCTTCTGGTCAAACAGCAGAAAACAAGCAACAGCCTTGGGTAGGAAAAGTTTTGTAACATATTTCTATTGAACAAGACTGTTCAAATATTGGTTTGTGGAAAAAAATATTTTATTCTGTATTTGTTCACTTTCAGAAAGCAGTACAATGGCCAGCAGTGTGGCTGGTTTCAGTCCCAACAATTGGGACAGAATGATAGGGAGCACAGGAAGAGTCACTGATGTCGGCGAAGTAGGGAAATGCCAGAGAGTGAAGGGATTTGAACACAAGTGTAAGGACCTTGAAGTTGATCTGTTCAGTGGAGCCTGGCCAGAACTGGTGAAATGTGGGTATGGAGTTTGGTCTGGGTAAACTTGCGGGCATCAGAGTTCTGAATGAGCTGGATCATTTGAAGAGTGGAGCTGGGGAGATTGGTAAGGAGTGTATTTGAATAATCCAGGCAGGAGGTGGTAAACTCATGCACGAGGGTTTCAGTTGCATTTGGGGTAAGGTACGGTCGGAGCGGGCAAAGTGATGGAGGTGGAAGAAGGTGGTCCTGGTCAAGAATGGATGTGAGGGCTGAAGGACAGCTGGAGGTCGGACCAGACGCCTAGATTGTTCACTTGTTCGGTGAGCTTGAGGGAGATCCCAGGGAGATTGAGAAGTGTAGATCTGCAGGAGTGAAGATGTTGATGGGAGTTAAGGATATGGCTTCCGTCTTGTCCACATTAAGCTGCAGGAAGTTTGCACTCATCCAGGCCCTGATGTCTGCGAGACAAGCTAATAGAACATCAGTGGACCTGGAGTTGGTACTGGAGGAGGCAAAGTAGATTTGTGTGTCATCCGCATACATGTGGAAGCTTACCCCATGTCTGTGGATGACATCGCCCAGAGGGAGCATATAGATAAGGAAAAGAAGAGGGCCAAGGATGGAGCCCTGAGGTACTCCACAGGTGACCGAGCCGGGGGCGTGAGGAGAAATAATTTGCTGAGATGAAATGGAGGCGGTTGGTTAAATAGGACTCAAACCTGGTGAGTGCAGTTCCACTAAGGTGGATGAGGGAGGAGAGGTGGTGGAGGAGAATGGCATGGTCGACTGTGTTGAACGTGCGACAGAGATATCCAGGAGGACGAGGAGGTAGAGGGAGCCCTGGTCACCGATAGAGAGAATGTCGTTTATGACTTTGACAAGCGCTGTCTCTGTGCTGTGGGCAGGGCGAAAACCAGACTACAGGGGCTCGAGGAGGGAGTGAAGAGAGAGTTGAAACTGAAGTTGACCTGCAACAATACGTTACAGTACTTTGGCAAGGAAGGGTAGGTTGGAGATGGTATTGTGAGAGATTAGAGGGATTGAGGGCGGATTTTTTGAGGAGTGGTGTGATGACCGCGGTTTTCAGGGGGAGTGGAACAGAGCCTGAGGAGAGAGACTGGTTGACCGTGTTGGCCAGCAGGGGGAAACGAGGGGGAGTTGAGTGATCAGCAGCTGGGTGGGAACGGGATCGAGGCAACAGGTGGTGAACTTCATCCGGGTGATTGTAGTTGAGAGGGACGAGGGAGAAATGGGGACAAGGGAGTATAAGGGGGGGAGGGAGAGTGGCAAGAGCCATGTCAGAGGGAGAGAAGGTGGTGTGGATAGCGCACAGGCAGCAATGTTCGCAGAATTTCCTTGCCTTACCCGCAAGTTGGCCATTTTTCGTGCTTTGTTTTAAATTGGTTTATAATTGGGGGAAGTATCTATTTTGCGGTATTTGGGCTGCTTAATATGAAAGCAAAGTCGGCCCATCTGATCTCATCCTTCCAGAACAACCACCCTACCCTCTGCCGTTCCCTCCCCACCACCATGATTGCATCAAGCTGTTTTTTTAAATGAGTCCAGTGTCATGTCCTCAGCCACATTTAATGGCAGAATCATTCACTTCACAATTGTCTGTGGGAGCTGCTGTGCAAACTGGCTATAGCATTTGCCTATTTATACATAGTACCTACCCCTGACAGCAGTTACCTGTAAAATTACCTGAAGTTTCAAATGTAACAAATTCTGAAGGGAAGGCATATTTATTTAGCCAAGGTAGAGATTCAAAATATTTATTTATTCAAGCTGAAGATTTTCATATATGGAACAGTTTGATGGAGGACGATCAAACGTGTAAGGAAGACTAGGTATTCTGGAAGGATGAGATGAAATTGACCAAAGGGCCTTCTTTGCACAAACCTCAATTGTGATCTTGTGAAAAGTTTCTGGATGAAGAGCCAGGTGTACATTCTTACTGCAGTAAATGCATAAGCTTGGGCTAAATGCATTGAGCTGGTGATTTGTGAGAAGACTGGCTGTGATAGTTTAGGTAGAGTAGAGGCACCTCCCCTCACCCTGACCATTTCCCCCCTGCTTGGGTCCTGACCCAACTGTACAGCGCCTTGGGACGCCCTCCCGACATGAAAGGCGCTCTATAAATGAAATCTTGTTGTTGTTGTTGTCATGCTGTTTTATCACTTCCTTTGTGTATAATATACTTGTCTTTCTGTCATGACACTGTTTTTACACCGCTCAATACAATGTACTCAATACATTGCTCAATGTCGTGTCCCAGGATATAGTTTGCCAGCGACTGCCAGGATGATGGAAGGCAAACTAGATGGACGTTGGTCTTCTTTCGCCTAGCAAATTCTTACGTTCTTATGTACAAATTCTGGGTCTGCCCATTTTCACGAGGGGCTTGTGAGGGGCTCAGAACCTCTACCATTGCAGGAGCCATTCAGCTTTCTCTTAGCCTACTAGTGTTGCAATCCTGATAATGTGTTGCCTTATGAAATGCAAGACCCAAAATCTTTCATGTTCTTTTCTCATCTCATGTTCACTTCTCTGCAGTATCGAAAAAGAACTGTGGAAAATTGGTTTCCAAATTTCGAATGAATCTAAGTCTATTTTTTAAAAATTAGTCTTAGATTTATTTGAAAGATTAGTCTTAAACAGCAAGACAACGATCGTAACCTTGAGAAGGAAAGATGTTTTTTGGTCTGCAAAGGAACACACTTTCTTGACAACGAATGCTGTTTTTTGTGAGATAATTTGAGATAGAGAAATGGAAGTAAAGATTTCTATGAGCTTGAAGACATAATGGAAATGAAAAAAACAAAGTATTTCGGGCTGGGACGATTGCCTGAATGTAAAACTCTTGGACCATTTCACGACAGAAGTTAATTTTCCATGGAGAGAAGCTAGAGGCAGTTTGCACACTATCATTCAATGTGATATTGTATCTTGAAAGATTTTGACTACAAGAAGATAAGAAAACGTGATACAAGAATAGGCCATTTGACTTTAAAACACAACTCCCTGTATCACCTATCATACCATGGATTTCACCCAGTCTATTCTGGCTTCCAGGGGCAATCTTCCACAGGATTCTGAGGATAATCAAAGAGATGTACCTATCAAAATATTATTCTTACCTGACTTTCTCTCAAACAACATCATTCTTCTATCCCAACCCAGCCCCAGCATAGAAATCATTGCTTGCCTGTGTATTATATGTTCATCTTCTCTATTCCTTCAAAAGTGTTCTCAAGCAGACACTTCCATTGTTAAGCAATTATTCCATGCAGCAATAATAATAATAATCCATTAGTAATAATAACAATAGTATTTGTTGGTCATTTGTTTCGACAGAGAATATTGGACATGTGAAGCATTATCTATTCTCTTATTCAAGGCTTTTTTAAATTTTGAAGCCTCCATTTTCAGCTCCCAGGGTTTGAGTCTATTTATGCCTATACCATCATATATGCCACTATTCAAAAAGAAAAGGGAACAATACTCCTGATAAATTAATCATTCAACTCATGGAATCTTGCTGTGTGCAAAGAATTGCTGTGTGCAAAATGGCTGCTGGTGTTTACTTACAAAAACAGTAATAAATTTGATAGTAACATGCAATTTCTTCCTTCAATTAATGTGAATAATTTAAGCTCTATGAGCCAGTCTTGATAACTTAGAGCTATATGTCAGAGCAGAACCATCCTTCATTACTTCTACAATACTTCAATGTGTGTAGTTTTTTTTGCTACTGATGCTTTGGATTCTACTTTGCAGCTTAACTGTGGTGAATGTCAGCCAGAAGCAGACAACTTTAAAACTGGTTCCAAGTAGCGCATAAGTTAAATACAACATCATATGAACTGCAGGGGGAAAAGAGGTTGGTCACTGTGGAAGGGGACACTAATGACATTAATTGGCAGGCACCACCTACTACTTGAATGCAGCCTGATTCCTTCTCTTTCCTTTCCTTGCTCTCTGAGCTCAATTTCATGTCCTTTCTCACATCTTTTCTATCAGTTAAATGCAAACACCAAAAACTGCTCAACTTCAACCCAGCACATTATTTAAAAGGAATGTGTTGCAATTATTACACAAAAATCTACAATATTATGAAACGGTGCATCTTTCAGCCCTTAGTGCATCCTGAATTTTGCAAGGTTGGAATTGATAGTAATAAATGTAACATTAATCTTAGGATAGCCAACATATCAGAAATAAAATTTCCACAACAATTTTGATATTTTTCTGTGTGAGAATTATAAGTGAATTTGGAGGTTAGAAAGTAGGTTAGATACGCCTAAAGCACTGTTGAATTGATTCACTGACTTTTATAAGATTAAATCTTAGATTGCTGTAAAAGTCAAACTGTTACATTTAAGTGGTGGTACACTGAGGAGCACTGCAAGCGGCTGTCAGTTTGGAGTAAAGTTATTAAACTCGCAAACAATTGACAATATAACTACATGTTTGTCTCAGATGTGACAGTGCTACAAACTGAATTGGCTAGACACTTGATAATAATATGATGACACTTGAACCATGATAATGGAACTGTGTCTATCTGAACATGTAAAATTTCTAGGGCTTTTCCGGGTTTTCTGATACAGTCCAATACATATGTAAATAATTACAGTAAATCATAAAATAGAATGCATAACAATCAGGAACTAAGACCTTCTTAGTACTGTTGTCAGTATGGTTTTACAGCAAATCATTTATGACACCCTAAACTCATTAACTTTAAATTAATGTTAAACTATGTGTGAATTCATGCGAGACTGATGTGATCACTCCCTTAATACATTGTCGTTACTGTTCGATGTTCATTCTTTGTGCACAAACCTGCTTGAGATCGAGGCACACATTTAAAATGTTTTCTCTGAACCATTATTCTTTCAGGACTTCACTGTGTGACCCGACAATGTCAATGGTATGTCTGTCAGACTTTGAATTGTTCGCCAAAGAACACTTACCCAAGACTACCTGGGATTACTATGCTGCCGGGGCAGATGAGTGCTGTACCAGGGATGACAATCTAGTTGCTTATAAAAGGTATTTTAAGCGCATTAACACTGTCAAAAAATCCGGTTCACCGGACTCGATCTCCACCACTATTAGTCCAGTTAGCTGGTGGTTGAGTGCTTACATTTATAATAGCACTTTTCACGTTGGAAATGTGACCGAAAACACAGTCAAAGAGGTAAGTCTTAAGGCAAGTCGAGAGGGAGGGCAAGTCAGAGGGCCGGATAGCGGATGTGAAGCAGGCATATATGTGGATATATCTGAATTTTTACTGAGTGGAAATTGATGAAGTGGAGAGCTTGATAGCAGGCATGCAACTATAACCTTTCATCCTCTTGCCAGTACTGTCAATAACCTATTCACTACTGGCAATCATCTTACCCACTAGTATGAAAAGAATGGAACAGATTGCATTTTTAAAGCACCTTAATATGCTCAGACTTCACAAGTAGTTCTCGGCAAATATAGCGATTGCTTTTGCAGACTAATGTGGCAGCCATTTGGACCAACAAGGTCCCACATCCAGTCATGAGGTAAATGACCAAGTGAGTTGGAGGATGGTTAGCCAGGACACCCGAAGATACTCCCTTCTATTTTTGGATAGTGTCACAGGATCTTTAATACCAGGCAGAAAAGAGTCAGACCCACAAGTTGACGTTGACACCCACCCACCATTCTGGTTGTATGTTGGTTTTCAATTATGTTTGGTCATCTAAGTGTGTATTTCTACCGGCTAAAAGTAGTTTGTAAGTTTCTATTACTATAAATAGTATATTATTGGTTTACAAACAAATGCAATTTACAGTTCTATAGTGCCTTTCATTTTGGGAGTACATCTCAAGTTACTTTCTGCAGCTGACTGATTTAATGTCTTATCTGGAAAAATTGAGAAGTGCACAATGCTGGGAGGAGCCCAAATGGGTATTTTACAATGCAAATTATTCCTACGTTGAATTTGCCTGGTTTTAACTAAAATGTTGATGTTTATTCTGCAGGATCCGTCTGCGTCCCCGAATGTTGAGAGATGTCTCTGTAACAGACACAAGAACAACCATCCAGGGCATGGAAATCAATTTCCCCATAGGGATTGCCCCCACTGCCTTCCACTGCTTGGCGTGGCACGATGGAGAGATGAGTACAGCCCGTGGTACTTCAATGCAGAATTATTGTATTTTAAATTATGAAGAAGCACAGAGAAACTAACACAGCCACATTAGTGATAACATGCATTTGCTCAGTAATAGCTGTGCTGAAACACAATAGTCATGAGTATCGGTCATAGTTTCTGTTACATTTGCTTGCAAACATTCATGAGTAACCAAAGATCACAGCTCTGCTAAGAGGTTTTTTTTTGGACGTTTTTATTCTAAGATCAGGAAATGATGCAAAGCAACATCTGGCTACCACTCTGAGGGCAAAATGGTTTCAGATTCACATGTGAAAACCTGCCTGAACCAGCTACAGTTTGACATTATCAGCTGTGTTCATTTCAAGAAAACAAACATTCCTTGTAATGGTAAATGAGTTTTATCTTATAGACAGCTTAAAGGAGGGTTGAGGTATCCATACATATTCATTCTATATATGAATTGTGTACATATATAGAATGTTTTTACATATAGTAATCCAATGTACAGTCTCGCTATGTATCACTGGTACCTCATACCTGTTACTATTGCTTAAGTTTTCTTTGGTTTGAGATTTTCCATCATTTTGAGTTTTGAAATCCATTAAGAAATGCCACAATAATCAACCCTACAAAGAATGTCACAAAAAAACAGAAGAGATATTTTTCTGACACTTGAAAATCCATCGCCACACTTAAAAGTATCCAAACAGACAGAGTTCCACCTGTGCATGCCACCCACACATGGAAATTTCCATGCATGTGAAATGGCATGTGCATTCTTTCTGGAGGGCACGCCATGCTTACCTAATTCTGGAGAGTATTGGGCACAGGTTGGTGAGAGCCAAGACTTGGGGATCACAAAGTATGTGTTGAAGTACTCGTCGAGTTTAACCAACTAAATTGAATAACTTGCCATTGAGAACACTGGCTAGCAAGCTTTCTGCTGCTTTGCCAACAAGGACCACAATAATAATAATAACAATAATACTTGCATTTGATGTGGTGCCTTATCAGGTTGTTGAGAAGTCTCAAAGTGATTCACAGGATAACTTGTAAAGTGGATTGACTGTGAATGACAGCACCCAGTTTGTGCGCAGCAATATCCCACAAACATTCATAGCATGAGCGACCAATTTTATTTGGGGAATTGTTGGCCAGCACAGCGGGTGAAACTCCCTTCTCTTTTCCAATAGTGCCATGGGATCTTTAAGGTCCGCCTGAACAGACAGAAGAGACCTCGGTTTAACAGAAGCCGAGTGGGAAGAATCCATTCCTCAGGATGCCTGTTTCTAAAAAAAATAGTGGCACGAAAAGCAAGGAAACCTCTTCTATAATCTAACCCTATGAAGGATAAAATCTATCATTCCCAATTAATGTTAAGGATTAGTATCTATAGAATATAGTCAAAAACCCCATGGTTTAATAAAATCTTTCTATTTGATAAGAAAAAAAGAAAGAATATTTTGTTTAAAAGCCTATAAAAATGGCAAGTACTTTTGATTTTCCAGTATGATTGCAGTTATAAATGGGACATTTCTAGCTGTATATCATCTATCTTCATGTTGCATTTGTAGCATTTGTTCATTGGTTTAATTCTGAGCAGTGATGTGTTGCAGATCTGTATCCACCTGAGATGTGAATTCAACTTGTTCAGCTTGACACTCCACAATGCAGTACTAAGAGTGCTGCATTGGTAGATGACAGATGAGATGAGACACTAAACCCATTTAGGTCGATGTTAAAGATTATATGGCTCTATTTGAAAAGAGTAAGGAGTTTCTTCCACTGTCCTGGCCAACAATCTTCCAGATAAATTGACCATTCACCTTATTGCTGATGTGAGGCCTGCTGCGGGCAAATTTGTTTGTCTACAAATAACATTCACTACATTTTACAGCACTTTGCGATATTGACATTATAGACACGATAGACACTATTATCAAATGCATGGATTATTATATAAACATGACTTCTAAATTCCTTGAATAATTAGAGAGAAAATAGGCACCCAATCTGCTTGGGTGAGACTAAACCAAGGTCATGCAGATTAAATTGTAAGAAACAATTGGAAACTTTTCAAAAAATATCTATATTGAAGCCGTAAATGGTATACGAGTAATAAAAATAAGAAATTGACATTGATTAGTCTCTGCGTGTTGTTTTATAGCTGCTGAAGCGATGAATACTTGTTACATTGCCAGTACGTACTCCACCTGCTCAGTAGAAGAGATTTCAACAGCAGCACCGAATGGATTACAATGGTTTCAGCTTTATGTCTACCGGAACCGTAAACTCTCGGAGCAATTAGTGCAACGTGTGGAAGCACAGGGATACAAGGCTGTCGTACTGACTGTGGATGTCCCTTACACTGGCAAAAGGAGAAATGATATCAGGAACAACTTTAAACTTCCACCTCACCTCAAAGTGAAAAACTTTGATGGAATATTTGAGGTATGGAAACTGCCTCTTTTAAAATTGGAGGGTTAGATTCAGACTGAATTAGTGCTAACAGCATAGTGGCATTGGGTTCCGACTGAAACAGTAGAGTGCTGTTGAGGTCTGACTGTGCCACGACAATAGTGTGGTTGGTTTTTTGGTCAGGTAGGTGTCTGATACATGTGGAAACCCATCACCATGCTTAATAGTATCCAAATCAAACTGAGTTCCAAACATCCCCCCTATGCATGGAGATTCACAAGATATTTGTTGTAATGGAAGGCACACTCTCTCCCTGGATGGAAGCATCCTATTTACCAAATTCTGGAAAGTATTAGGTGTAGGTTGGCAAAAGCTAAGGCTTGGACACCCTTGACTATGCTAGAGTCTAACCAGCTAAAACTACATAGCTTGTCACAGACAATAAATTTAAGATTGTGATAGAAAGAAAGCATGCAAATCTGCAATCTATCATTGAGAATAAACTGATAAGATATGCTTTATGTAGATAAGATATACTGTTACCCAAGTCTTAAATTAATCGATGCAGCATAGGTCACTCCAAAGCGTCATCTTACAGTAAACAAGATAAAGTTTACTTAACCTAGATCTCCTATGAATGGGAGTCCAACTTCTCCCTCCATAGGCTGCAGATCATCCAGAGCTCTGCGGCCCGTCCTCTCCCGCAAAAGGCTTCACGACCTTATTATCCTCGCCAGGCTCCACTGGCTCTCCATAACTCAGAGAATACAGTTCAAGATCCTGGTCCTCACCTTCAAAGCCCTCCACGGCCTCATTCCTCCCTATTTCTTTGACCTCCTAACCCCATACCAACCTGTCTGCTCCCTCTGCTAAGCGGGCTCTGGCCTGCTTCACGTCCCTCACCTTGCCTGCCCCACCAATGCCAGGCGGGCCTTTAGTCTCTCTGCACCCATCCTCTGGAACTCCATCCCACAGTCCCTCCACCTCGTTTCCTCCTTTGCCTCCTTCAAGACCCTCCTTTTCGACCTTGCCTTTGGTCACTCTCTTATCCCTACCCTCCCAGCCCTTCACACCTCCTGATCCCAAACACCATCTCGGGTGCAGATCCCTGACTGTCCAGCGCCCTGGAGTGTCTTTCTGATGTGAAAGCCCTATACAATGTAATTTGTTGTTGTTTGTTTATTTGTTATTTAGTTCTTTGTTTTAGTTTAATTATTCTATTGCATCTTCAGATTAAACAATGTCTTCTTCCATCCCCAACCCTCATTCATGTAGCAGGTTGAAACATTTCAAGGTCAGGTTAACGAGAAGCAGTGCATGACAAGTCCTTTTAAGCAAACCAGAGCCGGTGAATATGTAAGCATAATCCATTAAGTTCTACTGTTTAGTAAATAGATAAGAAATAACTAATTACAAACAAAGTTGAGAACATCATTAATTTTATACTGTTTTTTACACTATATAATTAATCTCACCTGCTCACCTGTGTCTGTACATGAGTGAGTGCAAGTAAGTGATTGAAAGAGAGAAAGACAATGGATGGTAAGGAAGAAATCTCTGTTTTTTATAGAATCATAGAATATTACAGCACAGAAGGAGGCCATTCGGCCCATCGTGCCTGTGCCGGCTCTTTGGAAGAGCAACCCAATCAGTCCCACTCCCTCGCAACGGGATCATCACATTGCCCTTCAGCCCTAGTTAGACCAAAGGGAATGAAAAAGTCTGGAAGAAGTTGTTCACACTGGCTTGAAGTCAGGATCTTCACCAATGATGATTATCATCTCGTATCTTGACAACATTACAAGCATACACTTCTCCTATGTTTGCAGGACTTTAATGGAGCAGAGGTGTATGGAGGTGCAGTCAATTCTCTGGATCCATCAATCAGCTGGAAAGATATCTACTGGCTTCAGTCATTGACTCGCCTGCCTATAATCATTAAAGGTATTTTAACCAAGGAGGATGCAGAGCTGGCTGTGGAACATGGTGTCCAAGGCATCATAGTGTCCAACCATGGAGGCAGACAACTTGATGGAGGGCCAGCTTCGGTCAGTTTATTTGCTAGTGTGGTTTCCGTCTTTCTGTTTCTCATTGATATACATCTCTCTCCTTTGTACATATCTGTACCTTCAGCAAGTTTCCTAACCCCACACGCCTCTGTTTATGTAGCAGGAACCCGGTTGTTAGTCGATTGGTGGATCGCTTTACCGGGGGTAATAATCCCTCAAAAAAAATTGGTCAATCAATCCATGACAGTTTGTGGGACACTGCTGTGCACAATTAGTTGCTGTGTTTCGCCCATAAAATACACGGTCAATCCACTGTACAATATATTCTGTGAAGTGCTTTGAGACGTCTCAATGACGTGATAAGGTCAAATCAAATGTAAGGATTATTATTATTACTATTCCTGCATTCTAATAATTAAATTACCATTCTTCATTTACCGCACTTTTTCTTGTATTCTTTATAAATTGGGGCATTTTTCTTCACACAAGTTTCACTGATTGAAGAATCACGTTGCATGAAAAGTTTGATTATATTGGGGTTCACTAAAGTAAATTGCAAATCAAACAAAAATGGTAATGATGAATTACAAGATGGTGAGCGATACATGTTTGAACTTTTGCAGATAGATGCCCTATCAGAGATTGTGGAGACGGTACAGGGAAGGGTTGAGGTTTACTTGGATGGAGGAATCCGTACAGGAAGTGATGTCCTTAAGGCTTTAGCTCTGGGTGCCAAATGCGTTTTCATTGGCCGGCCAGTGGTTTGGGGACTTGCCTACAAGGTAACTAGTAGTTGCTTTACATGTACGATAACACAATTTATGTCAGATCATGAGTCGCTCTAATAGGCCAAAGTATATATCTATCATGTTTCTTTTGAAGCTGTTCAGTGTAGGTAACCTATAAGAAAAGTATGCTTTATGGTATGGTTTAATTGTAGAATCAACCAAGGTCCTAAACACAATGCATGCATTCCTGCGGATGGAAGATCTGACCATCTGACGGCTAATAATAATCCCTCCAAAAAAACAAAACAATAATAAAAATTGGTCATTTTCAATCCATGACTGTTTGTGGGATATTGTTGTGCTCAATTGGCTGCCGCGTTCGCCCACAAATATACAGTCAAATTCACTTTACAGTATATTCTGTGAAGCACTTTGGGACGTCTAGAAGACATGAAAAGCGCTATATCAAATGCAAGGATTATTATTATTATTATTATGTGCTCGCAGAATTCCATTTCTCCGAAGCCCCCAGTCTTAGAGAAATCCTACAGTGCTGAGTTGTGTTCTTAGAAGTGGAGCATATACTTTCAAAGACTTTGTCCACATTTCATAGAATTATAGAATTATAGAGCACAGAAGAAGGCCATTTTGCCCATCATGTTTGTGCCTTTTAAAAGAACGATCTAAATCAATCTCATTCACCCGTTCTCTCCCAATAACCCTGAAAACTTATCTTCCCATATTTGTTTGTGATCAAGATAGGATTTTCTTCTGCCATCAATAAATATCTTATGAAAAATAGTTAGGTTCTTACAAGTCTTAGCTTTCAAGAACAGTGCCATGTGTTTCTGTAAATCGTAGAATGAACCATGGTATGAAACGTAATAGTAGCCCAAGGTAGCATTTTTTTTGCATTGAAACATTTGGTCATTTTCCCTTCAGTGTCCAATGACAAACACCCTCCACCCAGATAAAATATAGTCTAGCACTCTTCTATGCTATTCAATAACCTTGTTTTGATTTAAATAATCCTATTTGATTGTAATACAAAACCAAGATACCATAATTTACTGTCCAGCCTTCTAGTTCCATTGCTATGTCATATATCATTAAGCAATACTTGTGTCAGATTGGGCTAATACTGTATAATTATAAGCAGCTTTGTGCCACGTTGAATGAAGCCTTGATTGAGACTCATTCAACTTGGAACTCTTAACATGCATCAGAACCCACTTTCATTCCTCTCCGAATTAGATCTCAACGCAAGCTATGGAGGTAAAAGAACCAGGTTACCTCACACTATGATGCAAAGATATTAATGCTCTGTTATCATGACAAGCCTGATTTTACCAATTTACAAAGATCAGGATCTTCATGTTTATTTCCATGATAGTGATGCAAATACTGCTCATTCAGCCTCTAACCTCAAAGTGGAAATTAATATATTATATATTAACATAATATACAGATTATACCAAATATTTGGGTTTTGACAATAGCTCTAGGACTTTTTGTTAGTCCTTACCTGTGTGCACGTCTAGATTGCACTTGTTCTAAGCAACACCGAATTGAGGTCATGTCCTAAACAACAACAAAATTACATTTATAGAGTGCCTTTCACGTCGGGAGGACGTCCCAAAGCGCTGAACAGTCAGGTATCGGGGCCCGAGCATGGGGGAGGGATGGTGTAGGGGTGAGGGAAGGCAGAGAAGTGGGAGGGCAACCGAAGGCACGGTCGAAGAGAAGGGTCTTGCGACTGGCCTTGAAGGAGGCAAGGAAGGAAGCGAGGCGAAGGGACCATGGAATGGAGTTCCAGAATGTGGGGGCCGAAAGGCTGAAAGCCCAGCCATCGATGGTAAGGCGGGTCAGGCAGGAGACATGAAGCAGGACGGAGCCCGCTGAACGGAGGGAGCGGGTGGGTTGGTAGGGAGTCAGCAGGTCAGAGAGGAAGGAGGGGGCAAGGCCATGGATGGCCTTAAAGGTGAGGATGAGGAACTTGAACTCGATCCCCTGGAGGATGGGGATCCAGTGGAGTCGGGCGAGGGTGGGAGTGATGGGGTCACGGAGCCTGGTGCGTGAGAGTACACAAGCTGCAGAAATTTGGGTGATCTGCAGCTTGTGAAGGGAAGAGTTGGGAAGGCCGATGGGGAGGGAGTTCCCATAACCGGTCATGGTGCAGATGTGGGGGAGAAAGGACAGTTCAGAGTCAAACAAGATACCCAGGTTCCTGACTGGCTTGGTGAGGATGAGTATGCAGCCATGGAGGCTGACACTTCCAGCGCCTGAGGTGCGGAGGCGCTGGCGCGAGCCAATCAGGAGGACTTCGGTCCTGCACATAAACCACCGGATTGAAACTGAAATGGTTCATTCATGTCATCTCAATCATTAGATACGTTTGTAGTTTTGAACACGTTTAAGTTATTCTGTAAAACATACTGCAATTTGGTCATTTCTTACCATTTTCCACTTTAAATTGAGTTGTCCTTGTTTGTGATCGTGCTCCTGCCATAGTAAATACTGTTAAGATGCAACACACTTATGCCCAATCATTGTATAGGGGTAACACATGAAAGCTGTGTGACGTTTGACAGATAATCGATTGTATTCTTGCTTTAGGGAGAAGAAGGGGTGAGAGAGATTTTGCAGATTTTGAATGATGAGTTTCGACTTTCGATGGCTTTGGCAGGTAAGAGTAAAAGACATTTAAAAGCTCTTTTGTTCTGGCAGGTTTCAATAACCTAATTTTCAGAGTGAAATTAGTTTAGACAAATCTATGCACACAAGTGTTAAGCATTGCTAGTGTGTCAGTCCACACCTCTACAGATCACAATTATTATTTTTGTGAAGGTTATGAGCTCTATCCTGACAGTACTTTATGTTCAATAGACAGCACAGGAACTAGGAGTGGCCATTCAGTCTGTCAAGCTTGTTTTGCCTTTTACAATAACAACAACAACAAGATTACATTTGTATAGTGCTTTTCATGTCGGGAGGATGTCCCAGGGTGCTGAAACGATTAATAGTATTCTTAGATCATAGCAGATCTTTTCATCCCAGTTTTTTGTTTTTTCTCCAATTCCTTTAATCCAAACCACCCATATCCACCTCCTGTCAGCTGATTGTGGATCAGCACTCACACCAATAGAGATGCCTTCAGTTCAAAATGACCTGTCCTCACTTCTGGGGGAGCTTGTGTGATGGCTATTTTGGGAAGTGACTTTAAATTTTGAAAATCGGTCACAAATCAGAAATTAATTGATAGCATTTCCTAATGAGATTTCTGTATAAGGAATCTTAGTCGTACAAATGGGGCTCCTTCTATTAACCAGAATGATGTTATAGTAAAATATGGAGATGGTTTGGAAGTCCATTCAAATATGATTTAGTTCTGGGAAACAATTCTCACTGGAATTCTAGTTACAACGAATCTGTTAGGAAGTACTACAAATCAGACCCAGTACTGAATAGCTTTAAGCATGTGGTATAGACTAGTCTTTTGTAATACCATCAATGTGCTGTCCCTATTGCAGGTTGCAGGAATGTCTCCGAGATCAACAGAAACTTAATCCAATTCTCCAAGCTTTAGAACAAATCTTTAGACGAAAACATAAATGAATTCTGATTACAAGACACCATCACCGGAAAGGAATAGGATGCACCAAGGAAGAAACAAATTTTTTGGGAAAATTTGAAAAAAACAATAACCTCACTGTAACCAAGACAAATAAAGAAATAAGAATATATCAAATGATTTTTATTTTGTAAAAGAATGATGGTTTTAAAAACAATTGTCTGTTTGCTTTTGTTGAGATATAGATGTTCTTTAACTGGACTATTTTAATTCAGCCTTTACACCACTGTTAAACCCATGTTACAAGCCTCAATCATGACCACTGTGTGACGATTGCATCCATTTCTCAAGATGAACCTGGGACAAAGCCCAAATTCTAATGATGGGACCAGATGGTAAAGTGATTTGGTGGTACAGTGTGTTGGGACCACTCTTTCGTCTCTTGGACTAGAGTATGAATCCAGTCCTGTCAAAGGACTTGAAAGTTTGCATTAGGTCACATGAAAAGGACGGGAAGTGTGTATTTAAATTATAGAGTGTTTACAGGACAGAAGGAGACCATTGGAGCTTTCCACTTTAATCCCATTCCCCTGCTCTTCCCCCCCACCCATAGCAATCAGTACAGTAGAATTCTATCATTTCAATTCTAAAACTGTGCAGCCTTGACAGAAGGTCTGAGTGATATCACTTCTCTACCCATTTCCATGGAAGGTGCTAAATAAACAGAGGATTGGCCTGATGACATTAAATTGTCAATATTGCTCTAAAAGTTTTGAAAAGGTGAACAATTAAATTGTTCCCCAGAAACTGATTTTGGAAATAGTCAAGAGGTTCTGGCAAAATCCTAAAATGGAAGAGCAAACTTTGGGTAACAATAAACCTTGCATTTGATATAGCGCCTTTTCATGTTATTGAGACATCTCAAAGCACTTCACGGAATATACTGTAAAGTGAATTGACTGTATATTTTGTGGGCAGACGTTTATATTGTCAGCAGACCTTCTGCCCCCCTGCTCCCTCTATACCCAATTGTATAACATTCAGTAAAGAACTCTATACCACTTTAACACTGTATATGTATTAGTTGCTTGTTGTTGAGCTTTGACAATTGAGTCTGTAAACTACCACCAGTCATTGTGGCCCCACACTCTACCCACATGGTTTTGCATCACATGACAGGAGTTTTACTGGAAAAGTGTGGTATTTTCACCTGATCAGTAAGAAGTTTTGAAACTGAAAAAAATTGCAACATGTTCTACCAGGATATTCACTATCCTGTATTTACTTCTGCATTATTGATACTTCTTTGTAGAAGTACAGTAGAAGCAGTCGTTTGGAAATAAAATGTATTCAGACAGAAATTCATAGTTATAAGCTCTTTACTTACAATTTTTTGGAGTTGCATATATCAAGATTCAGAAAAACTAGTGCTACCCTGATGGTGCAGTTGAACAAAGCTACATCTTACGACCAGGAGCTCGCTGGTTCGAATCCTGGGCGGTGCTGAATTTGCTGGTCTCAGCGGTCGGATGGGAGGCTAAATTGGCTCTGGCCTTTCTAGGCTTAGGAAGAAGAAAAATAGTTATGTTTTCTGCTCCTATCTCCTATACAGAATCCTTCACTGATTGTATGTGTGTGTGTTGGGGGAGGGGAGTTATATGTGGCAGTGGGGTGGAGAGAAGTCAGACTTGGTTGTGACGCCCTCTACAATCGAACGACCTGACAAAAAATCATTGCCCAAGAAGCTCAAACTTTAACAAATGGTCACTTGGGTGGGATCTGGGATGCTCTGGGACGCTACCCTGCCTGAGGGGGCTATATAAATACAAGTTGTTGTTGGGTTACCTGGCGGTCAACTAGCATTCCAGATACCTGGTCAGAACAGAGAGGTGAACACCAATGCAAACATTTTCAGTCAGAAGATTAGAAAATAATTGCAACATGCCAATTTTTTAAAAAGTAAAAAACATAGGAATCAATGAGGGCAGAGGAAGAAGAAGCAGAAATTTTGAAAATGATGATGAAATGCATTTTGGATTGAACAGTTTTGAATATATCAGATTTTGCTTGTATATATTCAATTATATTTATGAAGGATATCAAGGGTATTGAGTAATGTCACCATAGGTTTAAAACTTAGAATTTAAACTGTGCTAGGTGTTATTGCAAAGCACCACAAATGCACAATCTAAATTATTCTGAACAGTAGGTTGGCAGTGCACACTGACTGGTTTGGTAAAATGAAATGTTTAGAGAAATGTTAAATGGTTGAAATCTGATATTTGCAACTTGTAGATTTTAATTCAGAATAATGTACCTTCTTATGAGATAAAACTATTTGGATATTCTGGTCTTAATGGCTTAGTTTTACTCCAGACAGTGGTTCAGTCAGTAGCACTATCACCTCTGGGTGAGAAAGTTGTGTTCCCCGCCCCCCCCATCCCCTTCAAATTGGGATTTTGATCTCAGCCTTGGCTGACACTCCAGTACATTGTCAGAGGAAACATAGGAAAATAGGAGAGGAGACGGCCATTCAGTTTATTTGATCTTGACATACCCCTTAATACCTTTACCACCTCTACTGCCTCTCTCTCTACAGCTTTCCTGGGCAGAGCATTCCACATGTAATGTCCTTAAATGAAATGACAAACAAGGTCCTTTAATCTTGCTCAGATGTATATTAAAAAAACCATTAGACTGTTCGAAAAGAGCAGGGAACCAATGTCCTGGTGAATAGTGTTACAGATAAATTGGTCATTCATCTTACTTCTGTTTGCCTACAATAAAAAGTCGCTAGGCTTGCACTAATTATCTGATGCAGTTTGAGGTGTTTTGACTTGATCGGGTACTTCAAAAATACACATATATAGAGACTTATGTATTTACCATCTAAGTTATTGAGAGATAACTTCTCCCTCTTCCTCATCTCACTTTATTAATATCAGATGTTTCACCCTGCAGCACAGAACTATTTAGACTTTCACTAGAAGTCTGCAATCTTCAATAGCAAGCCTGAGAATAATGATACATAGTCTCCTTGTACGATAGTGCATTGCTGTGTTTACAGTAAGGTTTCTAAAGAGCAATAGTGCTACTCACTGGAAGAAAATTGTTACTACAGAGACATTCCCATCTTAAATCCAGATTTTAGAATATTCAGTTGATGTTATTTCTGATTTGTACAAAACACTCAGTTTTGTCTACTTTGGGAATTATGCTCATAATCTAAACTGATACTGTTGTGCAGTACTGAGGGTTCATTGCATTGTCAATGTTTTTCCTTTAGTATTGCTGTAAACCTTTGGATGAGACGTAAATCAAGGTCAATTTGCACACATCGATACCCGACAATCAGCCGCAAAGTTTTTATTTGGCCAGGATGTCAGGAAAAACTATTTTCAAATAATCCCATGGGATATTTAACTTCCAACTTTACAGCTAGTGTCCTCACCCACACGAGTCCTGTCCTCATCCCCATCCTCACCTGACTTCCTCAGTTCCCTAAACCCCAGTGGGTCATCAATTTATTTTCTACCAGATATAGCAGAGTATATCAGGCCACAGAGGACGAACTCTTCAGCCTACACTACCTCTCCTTTCAGTATCTATTACATGTACATTATAGTTTATTAGATTTTTTCATAGTATACTAATAACAGAATAATCCATGATATGTGAAAACCCTCATGCTGTGGAATGAGTTCTGATGCTTTAGGTGGATGTATATATATTTTTTTAAAAATATTTTGTTTTGGTCAGCCAGGTGTCTGACACATGTGGAAACCCATCACCGTGCTTAAGAGTATCCAAACCAAGCTGAGATTTCCGTGCATCCCACCAACACATGAAAATCCCAGAGATAAATTGTTGGAATGGAATGAGCACTCTCTCCCTGGAGGGACCCATCCTGCTTACTTAATTCCGGAAAATGATAGGCGTAGGTTGGCAAGTGCCAAGGCTTGGGGATCCCAGAGTGTGCGTTGGGATACTGCTGGAGTTTAACCAGCTAAAACCTCATAGCTTGGCATTGATTAAATACCCATGGCCCAATTTCGACAGTGACAGAATTTTTACAGTATCTGAGCCAAATTCTTGCCGATTCCCCTTGCCCACTCTGAACACTCAGTTATTCATTATATTGCTGTTATCAGGCAAAGATTAGCTGCCTCATTTGCCTATATGATAAGTCATTATGTTTTAAAATAACACATTAGGCATCTATTAAATACAAGCATTATATTGCTATTTTGTTTTTGGCGATTGCTTAAACTGGATCACGATATGTTTACAGTATACGTATATTTGGTCTAATTCAGATTTAAAATGAAAATATTTTGCTTTAACTCTTCAAACGGTGTTTAAGTTTAGACTATGACTCATAGAGCATTGCAACATTTACCGGGAAAACATAATGTGGCAAGAGTCATTGTGAAACAAATTATTCAATGCTGCAAAGTCTGCATCATATCACTGAATCTTTTTAGATTAGCTGGACAGTCAAGGTTTTTTTGACCCGAGCTGGGAGTTAGGGGTCAGGAGGGATGGAGGGCAGGGTTGTGGGGATGGGACGGTGGTCAAAGGCATGGTCGAAGAGGACAGAGAACATGCCAGAGAACACAAGAGACATTAGAATAAAGAAGGAATGACACTTGAACTCATATCCTCTGTGAGAGCAAGTTTCTGCGATTTTCAATCCCTTCTGTTGCGACATTTTTGCTGCTTGTCATTTTCCAGGTTTCAGATAAATTAACAATGCTTCATAACATATATCATTTATAATCATGTCAACCATAATATAAAACAGTACGGATTGAATGTCAACTATATAATCATGTCAACCATAATATAAAACAGTACGGATTGAATGTTAAACTGGTTTCACAACCCTAAATATGTGCTCTTTTGGCTGTTGCCCTTGGTGTCTCTGAAAATATTGTTCTGGGTTCAATTTTTCCCCATTGCTTACAAAATATGCAGTCACTACAATTTACTTTTTATTATTATATACTCAGTAAACAGGAGTAAAGGTTAAAACAATGCAAATTAACAACTTCAGGGTGAGTTTAAATGCACACATTTCCTTTATTTTTTTGTGTGGGCCTTATTCCTTTATCTTTAAAAGATAACACAAGGTTAACAGTTGGAGAGCACGTATGTTTATCTTTATGATTTTTTAAAATTTTTGCTGCTTTGTAAATCCTCGTTAAGGTAAAAGTGTGATTGGGTCAAAGCATAAATAAATTGATTTAATAAAATGGAAGAAAAATAAAATTGCATGAAGTATTTTGGTACAGAATTTAGCTGAGGTTATTTTCATTACTAATCTGTGTGTCAAGGACATTGATTGAACTGCCTTCCAGTGATCTTTCTCAGTGCTTTACCTGTTTCTTTTGCACTTCAGTGATACGCACTCCACAGCAACTTATAATAATAATAATCCTTGTATTTGATATATTGCCTTATTACGTCTTTGAGATGGCTCAAAGCACTTCACAGTATACACTGTCCAAAATACAGTGATTGTGTATTTTGTGGGCGAAACACGGCAGCCAATTGCGCACAGCAGTTATAAAATATTATAAATATCAATATAAAATTTAAATATAAAAAGTTATAAAATAGAGCTGAGCTTGAAACAGCCCTCATTCAATCCTCATTCAAAGGAAACGTTAAAAGTTTCTCAATACTTGAAAAGAAAATTCTCAAAATGTAAATTGGCTACTGCCTTTGCTTTCAAAATGCTCACGGTCACTCCAGGATTTCATAACTTATCCTGGAATAGCCACACCCTTTGGCTAAGATAGGGCAGAGAGTACAAGGGACTTCCCAGTTTGCTGCAAGCAGCCACAGAATTGCAGACAGCAGGCTTTCCATTGAAACATTAATCCATCTTGCTGTGTTCTGACAGTAACTCTATGGCCACAAGGAGCTCAGCTGCATCAAGGGATTTCTCTGAGGCTTTGGTCTTGCACACATTGGCCTGTCTGCTCGCTCCGATTGTCGCTTCAGTTCCAGTTCAACGGTAAAACACTCAGCTCAACTTCACCTGTCAGTATCATGATCTGTTGTAAAAGTAATACTAACATTTTAGCAGACGCTATTCTATCCGGCAGCACTGATTTTCTGGTAATGCTTGTCTGAAATGCTTTTGATTCATAATACTTTATGGTATAAAATGTAAATGAAAGAAGAGAAAATATATTTGAAATAATAATAATCCTTGCATTTGATATAGCGCTTTTCACGTCTTCTAGACGTCTCACAGAATGTACTGTAAAGTGAATTGGCTGTATATTTTGTGGGCGAAACACGGCAGCCAATTGCGCACAGCAGTGTCCCACAAACAGTCATGGATTGAGTAACTAAATTGTTATTGCTTTTTTTTTTCTTGAGGGATTATTATCAGGCGTGTAGAGTAAGGAAACTTGCCCAAGGGGTCAGGGGTGACCTAATAGAGGTCTTTAAAATTATGAAAGGTTTTGATAGGGTAGACATAGAGAAGATGTTTTTAATTGTGGGGGAGACCAAAAGCAGGGGTCATAAGTATAAAATAGAACAATAAATCACATAGAGAAGTCAGAAGAAACGTCTTTACCCAGAGAGTGGTGGGAATGTGGAACTTGCTACCCCAAAGTGTAGTTGTGGTGAATAGCATAGATGCATTTAAGGGAAAGTTAGATACGTACATGAGGGAGAAAGGAATAGAAGGTTATGCCGATAGGCTTAGTTGAGAAAGGGCAGGAGGAGGCTCATGTGGAGCATAAACATTGGCGTAGACCAGTTGGGCTGAATGGCTTGTTTCTGTGCTGTATGTTCTATGTCAGAGAAGAGAGTTTCTCTCAGTGTCCTGATCAACAGTGCTGCAAACAAGATTGATCACTCACTTAATGTCTATTTGTGGGACAGTGCAAATTGGCTACTGTGTTCACCTACAAATATAGATACTACACTTCACAGTAAATCCAGTGAAGTGCTTGAGACTTCCTTCTGAAGTGAAAGGTGCTAAATGAATCGTAAACATTATTATTGTTATATTATGTTTTTTTTGCAATGTTTGCCTCTATTTATAAACAAACTACAAGCCATGATACCATTATTGCAAAGTGCATTTTGAGGGCAAACACAGCAGCCAATTTTTTCTCAGCCATGGGTGAATCTCCAATTTTTAGAGTACATCGTGCCCATCTCATCCCCACTGAACACCTGCACGCACTCTCCTGGCTGGTTTTCCATTCCCCAGTCCAGAAACACTGAGGACAACTGTAAACAGCACAAATCAGGGAGCAAACTTGGGACCTTCCAAGTCTGTGTGGCCTGTTACACGTGGGTCTGTAGTAGCAGCCAGTGAGCGAGCTGGATATCCATATTTTTTCCCACAAAATAAACACACTCACAACTTTAAGGTACATTCTGTGAAGCACTTTGAGATGTCTCGACGACATGATAAGGTGCTATTACAATGCAAGGAGTTTTATTCTCCTTATTGTTATCCTGAACTCCTTGGTTTCCAGCTCTAATGGGGTTGGTAGCTGCCATGAAACCCAACCCTTCTCACATGGGTAGTTTGCTTATCTGATTCGCTAACTGTTCTCTCTATAATTTCTCAATCTAGTTAACAATCTAGATAAAGTGTCTGCTTGTCATTGTGACGTGACCAAGCACCATGAGCAAACAATTACAACGCTTCTATAAGAATCAGGAAAAAGAGTTCAGAAATGTCAGAGACAGCATAAAGGAGCAACTGGGCAATTATAAGAGGCACAACCTAGACAAGTTGGTGAAGGAGCTTGGTAAAGAAATATGTAGTGACAATGAAAAGAATGATGACGAGACATCAAACGAATCCCTGAAGAGCAGTCAACCAACGGACTCTGACGAAACATCTATTTCAACAGAAGTGATAGCCCGTGAGTATCGCAATCTTAAGGTGACACCTGAAAAAGTTAGCCCTTTGAGCAACTAAACCAGCTGCTCCACGGCCCCCGCTCAGCCAGCTACACTGTCGGCGGTCGAGCCTTCAGCATCTGTGCCCCCACCCTTTGGAACTCCATCCTACAGTACCTTCACCTTGCTCCCTCCCTTGCCTCCTTTAAGGCATGTTTCAAGACCCTCCTCTTCACTTTCGGCCAGCCTCCTACTCTCCCTGCTCTCCACCCTCCCTGATCCCAACACCCACCCCTGCTTTGGTCCAAATGCCTGACTGTCTGGTGCCTTGGAACATCCTCCCGACGTGAAAGGCACTATACAAATGTAATTTTGTATTGTATATAAAACCTCCCGCAAGACAGCTGCTGGCTTAGGACCAAATGGTCTGACAGGTTAAAACTATATGTCTTTCTGGGTCTTATGTTTCAGCATCTAGCTAATTACTGTGCTCAAAATTCCAAATTGTCTTACCCAAAAAGACCATTATGTCTTACAAGTAAAAGTAATCTGGAAGATGCCAATGTTGTACATTTCTTATACCTAAAATGTCATGTGTGTTAAGAATTGTTTCCTGCATTATAGCGTTAACAATGAAAAATTAGCAAATTGGAACTCACTGCGTGAATTGAGACATCCATTTCCTGACTGAAATTCACAACCAAATTCATCAGCAAAATTTCTCAGCATTGGCAGAAATTCCTCAACAAATTAAAGTAGAACAATTCCATCAGCAGGTGTATTGCTCAGTAGGAGGAGAATTGCTTTCGTTATTTATCTATCTAATTGGCAAGGCCATCCATGGCCTTGTCCCCTCCTACCTCTCTGACCTGCTGACTCCCTACCAACCTGCCCACTCCCTCTGCTCAGCGGGCTCCGGTCTGCTCCATGTCTCTCGCCCGACCTGCCTACCATCAGTGGCCGGGCTTTCAGCCTCTCTGCCCCCACACTCTGGAACTTCATCCCATGGTCCCTTCGCCTCGCTTCCTCCCTTGCCGATCTCAAGACCCTTCTCTTCGATCGTGCCTTTGGTCTCCCTCCCATCTCTCTGCCTTCCCTCACCCCTGCACCACCCCTCCCCATGATCAGGCCCTGACATCTGACTGTTCAGCGCTTTGGGACATCCTTCCGACGTGAAAGGCGCTCTAGAAATGTAATTTTGTTGTTTTGTTGTTGTCTTATCTAATCTACAGAAACTGAAAATGAAGATTTGGAAGCCAAATTCAAAATAATGCTTCAGAATAGACTGTGTCATGGAGAGGTCCCTTTTTATGTGCGAACATTGGCCATCTGTGGCTACAGGAACGCCGGGAAATCCTCTCTGCTCCGACGTTTAGTGAACGAACCATTTCAGGAGAATGAGTCCATAACAGATGGAATAAAAATTGGACAGATTGACATTAAAAAGTGGAAGAGAAAGATAGGTAAGTGTATATTTAGATGGTTATTGTTTTATCCATGTATGCACCTCAAGCCCACAGCTGCAGAGTCATTATAGTTTGCAGTAAATCCTGTGAAGCGATTTGAGATATTTTGGCAACAATGATGAAGCACTATATCAAATGGAAGGATTATTATTGGATTATTATTATTCATTAAATTGGTGGACGGAGCATTGCCATGCAAACATTTGATAAATCATCCCATACAAGTTTATTTGTTATATCTTTGAGTTTAGCTGGACAATGGAGCGTATTAATAGGGCTCAAACTGTCAGTGTAATTAAAAGAGGTGAAGAGGTAGGGATTTTGTCATAGCCCACCCTCCCCCCGTCCCATTTTCTTTTGTTAATATTAATAAAGAATAAGCTTACCCGCGCTCCACCCACCCCATCTCGCCCATGTGGATAGCAGAATAAAGCTATTAACAGAAAAAAAATGATACGCATCTTAAGTTTAGCCCTGCTGAATGGAACGAGAAATGCTCTGAGATTCTGGCATTCAACAACAACAACAATAATTTGCATTTAAATAGCCCCTTTGATGTGGAGTGGCATTCCGGGGTAGCATCTCATTCACTTGGGATCTCTCAACGCCAGCAATCCTTTTTTAGGAGTAATGGAAATGAAGTAATGGTTGGCCATAGCCTCAGGGCCCGATGTACTTCAGGAAATTCTATACTTTTTAAAACTGTAATGTCATATCAGATTGAGAAAAGGATTATGATTTCTAAGGCACTAAATTCTTACACAGAGATTTTGGGAGACGTTTTGTCAATCTGTCACAATACCCTTGAACTCTGAAGGAACTACCATAGTCTAATTTATTGCATGGATTTGTCGCTATTGACGTCTATCACTATTGACGTGTATCACTAATGTATCACAACTTTCATTTCTCATATTGATGGCATTTGCATTCTGATTATCTCTTGTGGTGACTTATGTTCATTTTCCCCCCACCCACCTCTCCTCTCAAAGACATGTTAGTTACAAGATGCAATGGTTTGTTATAAGTTCCTGATTGAATATGTAGTTCTTGGGCTTCAGTAACATTTACAGTCACTTCTATGTTCTCTCCCAATACCACTGCATTGTTCTCAGTCTTAGGAGCAGGTGGTCCCAACACTTATTAAAGATGTTCACTTCAGTGCTTTTGGTTCCTCTTAGTCGTCAGTCATTGCTGATGCTGATGATCAGGAAACTCTTGTTCCTCAAACTAATTTGCTGTGATGTGCAAAACTCAAAGAGATTTCCCAGCACAGCATTACATCATACAGTGACTGACTTGGGTGCGCTTGTGTAATACTGTATTGGGATTCATCTCACTGCTCGCATCAAGATCACAGAGGTTCAGAGGCAGAAGTCCTTTCAGCCATTTAATCTCAACCTCCACAATATTAACTGTATCATTTCAGCACAAACATGTAGTCCTGGTTGGTAGCTCTTGTTGTGATTCATTCTCATGCAAACAAAGCTCAGATTTCTCACAGCAGTTGGTTGCTTCCTCTTCCGAGCAACACTCTTGCAACGATTCTGCGCCATGCTGTCAGTATTCTTGAAATATTGGCACAGCTGCTTGTATTGATCGAAGATACATCATCACTGTACTAAACAAGCTTTTACTCAATTTCCAATTAGGAACTTGATGCCAGCAGTACTGCAAATCATACCATTCCCCTCAGAAGACACATTCTCAAACAATCGCAAACCAACTGCAGTACATGCTAGTTCTGAAACTTTCCCTCATCTGAGAGGAAATTCAGGCCCCTATTGTCAAAAATAAACGCCTCCAGCAGTAGGGAGCAGGAATCCTGACTGATTTTCCCCTCCCTAACCCAGTTGCTGAGGCAATAGACCATTTAACCCTTAAAATTGTGCCGAATTGCAGAAAATTATTGAATTCCGTCTCAGTCTCCTGGTCAAAAATCTCCCAAATAAAACCGGTCACTCACTCCATGGCTGTTAGTGAGACATTGCTGTGCACAAATTGGCTGCTGTTTTTGCCCACAAAACACACACTTTACCATATATTTTGTGAAACTCTTTAAGACATTGACGATGTGAAGGCGCTACATAAAATGCAAGCATTATTAATATAACTTAATTTTAAGAAATGCAGGAAAAAATAGTTTCCAAAACAAGATTCAATTTAAGAGTTTAAGAGACAACCTAAAAATAATTTAGAGAGGATAATAGTCTCACACATTGCCTGAGCGGACAAAGCGGGCCCGCTGTGCCTTAAGAAAATGCGACACTCGTTGGTGACCACTGACACTGCATCACATTTTGGTTGAAGACTGGCACTGAGATGTGCTCTGTGAATATCCATTCATTACATTTACTCAAATAGAAAGAGAGCATCACATTGTCAGTAAACAAGTTCCTGTCATCTCATTACAGACCTGCTTGTGCAATTGCCTTTAATATCTAGCATTTTGAGACACTTTTTTTTAAGTGAGTGGCACTGTGCAGATGCAAGATGTCAGCATAACACAAGACCTATTTCTGAGATAATGTTGTGAGAGTTGACAGCGAGTTGGCTGACAATGCTACACCAAATGGGTATCGGATCTGATATTTGTTGTACAAGCGAGAAATCCTGACTCGCTGCAGCAAAAATCAGGGGTCTACGTTCTAAAGGGTCTACACAGCTAAGTATTGTGCTACCAGTTCTCCCTCATGGCTCTCTGCCTTTGCAGGCCATCCTACAAAATACAGTCACTGCACTTTACAGTAAATCCTGTGAGAAGTTTTGAGACGTCCTGCTGACATGAAAGACCAAATGCAAGGGTTTTTATCCGAGTGTCTGCTGAAACCCCAGTCAAATGTAAATTAAATCCACAAACTAAGTCTCAAAAGATACTTCTCATCAAGTTGCAGCTCTCTATTCATGCGACTTGAGTTGTTAAGTTAGCTTTTTTCGCCCTTTCTATTCAAGGACATGCTTACTAAAATCTCACTGCTCGCTATGACTCTGAAAACGTCTAAGGACATATAGTTGATAAATAACATAACTGTCTCTGTGAGCCCTTTCAATCTTTCTGCAGTTTCATTCCTTGCCCACACAAGTGCTTTAAATGTGTGAGGCCAGGGAAAATATCCCAATTGGTAACATGCATTTCAGATGTTTTCAAGCTCCATCTACTTCCTTCTCTCGCACACAGACGATCCAAGTGATGATCTGACATCCATGATTATGTCCTCAGTTATAAATTGCGGAAAGGGGACTCCTGAAGGTGAGCACGGACTTGTGAAACTGTTTCCTCTGAATGCTTGACCGACCCGCGATGAACTGAATGGTATATGAAGGTTGGCTGCCGTACTTGTCCACAACATACACAGTCACTACGCTTTACAGTGAATCGTGCCACAATTGATGATTTTTCAGATCTGCCTTGCCACACACCAGGCAATCTTCTGTACGACATGCAAGATTTAACCATAGACCTAATAACTCACAATGGTCCAAAACTTTGCAAGCATAGTGTACCAGGGTGTTTGCGAAAAGCACTGCTTAAGTTGAGGGCCCTTTATCTGCCAACCACACAACAGCAACATGTTTTATGGCACTTTTATATCTCCAGATCCACCGAGTGGATCACTGTTCGAACCCCTTCAGTCGGGTTTCCGTGCTGCCCATAGCACAGAAACTGCACTGGTCAAGGTCACCAATGACATCCTGACCATCTGTGACCAGGGCTCCCTCTGCCTCCTCGTCCTCCTCGACCTATCGGCAGCATTCGATACGGTCGACCATGCTATCCTCCTCCACCGCTTGTCCTCTCACCTAAACCTTCAAGGCCCTGTCCTTGAGTGGTTTAGGTCGTACCTCTCCCAACGTCTTCACTTTGTCTCCACAAATGTTTTTTCCTCCAGCCCCCGCACTGTCTCGTGCGGTGTCCTCAAGGCTCTGTCCTCGATCCCCTCCTCTTCACCCTCTATATGCTCCCCCTCGGTGACATCATCCGCAGACATGGGGTTAACTTCCACATGTATGCGGATGACACCCAACTCTACCTTTCCTCCTCTACCCTCAACTCCACGACCACCGATGTCCTGACAGCCTGCCTGTCTGACATCGAGTCCTGGACGAGAGGTAACTTTCTTCAGCTCAACGTGCGCAAAACTGAGGCCCTCCTGATTGGCTCACGTCAGCGCCTCCGCACCTCAGGCGCTGACAGCATCAGCATCCAAGGCTGCACTCTCCACCTCTCAAAGCCAGTCGGGAACCTCGGGGTTCTGTTCGACCCTGAGCTGTCCTTTCTTCCTCATATCCGCACCACTACTGGCACCGCCTTCCATCACCTCCGAAACATCGCCAGACTACGGCATTACCTCACCCCTCACACTGCTGAAACTCTGGTCCACGCCTTTATCACCTCAAGGCTGGACTATGGGAACTCTCTCCTCGCCGGCCTTCCCGGCACCTCCCTCCACAAGCTGCAGGTCATTCAGAACTCTGCAGCTCGTGTACTGTCCCGCACCAGGCCTCGCGACCACATCACTCCCACCCTCGCTCGCCTCCACTGGCTCCCCATTCCCCAGAGGATCGAATTCAAGATCCTCACCCTCACCTACAAGGCCATTCATGGCCTTGCTCCCTCCTACCTCTCCAACCTACTATCCCCCTACCTACCTGCCCGTACCCTCCGTTCCTCTGGCTCCGGTCTGCTCCACATCCCCCGCCCCAACCGCCCTACCATCGGTGGCCGGGCCTTCAGCCTCTCAGCCCCCAGGCTCTGGAACTCTATACCCCAGTGTCTTCGCCGCCTCCTCCCTTTCCTCCTTCAAGGCCGGTCTCAAGACCTTTCTCTTTGACAGTGCCTTCAGCTCCCCTCTCGACTCTCTACCCCCTCCTCGCTCCCTCCCTTCCCTCCCCTCACCCTGACCATTTCCCCCCTGCTCGGGTCCTGACCCAACTGTACAGCGCCTTGGGACGTCCTCCCGACGTGAAAGGCGCTCAATAAATGGAATCTTGTTGTTGTTGTTGTTGTTGTTGAGTGTGTAAGAGCCACAAAGAGGTGCACAAATGAAATGGTTTTGCATGCTTGAAAGTCAATAATTGTTGTGTTTCATTTTTAGGAATACTTTCAGAACAAAGTGACAGCTCAATAGAAGAACAGGAGAACAAAGGTAATTGTACTGGTTTAGAACAATTTAAAAAATATATTTATTGACAAGTGGCTGAAGGCACGGCCACCGATGGTAGAATGGAGGGCACGAGGGAGAAATAGGAGGCCGGAGCCAGCTGAGTGGAGGCAACGGGTGGTGGAGTGTGGGGTAAGCAGATCGGATAAGTAGGGAGGTGTTAGAGCATGAAAATATTTGAAAATGAGTGAGGGGATCTTGAAATCGATCCATTTAGTGATTGGGAGCCAGTGGAGTCTGGATTGGTATGATGTTACACAGTTGCACTATTTAAGCAGGTTCTCTAAGCAAAAAAAAATTCATGACAATAACTGAAGTGTCTTTGACTACATGCGCTCACGATAGACACTAGACTCATTTTAAAAAAAAGTTTGATGCTTTTTTTGTAGGTAGCCTCAGGTAGAGTATTGTGTCCAACTTTTGTCACAGATTATAGGAAGGATATTAAAGGATGTACATGCAATGATATCCTTCCTATATTAGGGTCACATAATTTGTCATGCAAGACATAGCTTGTCATGGATCGTTAAACAGTCTGCCTACAAGTCTACACTCCTTACATTTTACAGAAAACTCTCTAAAGCACTTTATTATTGTGATCTCAGCATGTTTTATTGTAGTACGTCTCTATACCAAATGCAAGGATTATTATTATGATTACACTAAAGTTGAATCAAGCAATTTCTTCCAAACCAGGAAGGGTATTCTGGAAGGTTGGGTCAAATGGGCCAAAGGGCCTTCTTCATCCAAATCAAACCATTTGATGCTGTGAAATGCTCCTGTTTCCCAAGTGCTTAAATAACATCAACTTGAATTTATATACTGCCCTTCACCTCAGACGCCATCTCAGACCACTTAACAGTGGCAGAGCTCGATGCCGAGCCGAGTGGGGAGGGTGACCATAGGCAAGGTCGAAGAGGCGCAACTTAAAAATGGGGAGAGAGGATACAAGGTGAAAGGATTGAGGGAGAGAATTTCTCAGCTTTGGGGCATAGTGCCGGAAAGCATGGCCACCGATAGCGGGTAGAGGGTCCGGGGGACAAGGAGGAGGCCAGAGCCACTCAAGCAGAGGCAGGGGGCAGTAATGTAGGGAGAGAACAGGTTGGAGAGGGGGGTGCCAGGGCATGAAGGGGTTTAAATACAAGAGTGAGGATCTTGAAATCTATCCACTCTGTGACAGGGAGTGGAGTAATGGAGGTACGGAGTTTAGTGCAGGTGAGAATGCAGGCAGCAGAGTATTGGAATGAGTTGAATTTTGTGAATATTGGAGCAGGGGAGACCAGCGAGGAGGGAGTTTGAATAGTCAAGGCGGGAGGTGATAAAGGCATTGACGAGAGTTTCAGCAGCTTACAGGGCTTTGGCCAGGAAGGGCAGGTTTGAAATGGGGTGTTAATGCACAAGGTTGAAGGGATCAAGAGTAGGTTTTTTAAGGAGGGGAGTGATGACAGCTGGTTTGAAGAGGAATGGGACTTAATCTGAAGAAAGGGACTGATTTATGGTGCAACCTATCTTTCTGTCAGGAGGTGCTGTGAACGAGTCTCTCACCAATGCTGTCCTGCTGAAAGTGAAAGAAATGGACAGAGATTCTCAAAAACCTGAAGAGGTTTCGATCTTTCGATACTACGACTTTGGAGGCCATGTGGAATATCAGCAGATGCACTTGTCCTTTTTACCCAACCATGCCGTCTACTTGCTGGTTGTTAACCTGAATTTACGGTTAAATGACACCTTGCCAATAAAGGAAAGACTTCACAGAGGACAAAAAGTAATGGACACCTGTGGATTCACTGTGAAGGGTAAATTTTTCTTGCACCCGCTTCACGTTCCGAGGTGAAAAACGAGAGTCGTGATGTGATAGAGGATTGTTATCAAATCCGCTAAACAAAATGAGAAAACTTGGCAGCCCCGGCTGGAGGCCGGCAATGGCTATCTTGTGGCCATTGGTTTGCTTTTGATGACCCGTCTCTGCCAATAAATTTCAAGCTGCCCGAAGGCAAAAGACCAGGCCTGATCGCAACTTTCGGTTTGCAAGTTCAACCCCAGTGAAAGGAAGAAGTATTTTATGTTATGGAACCAATGCCTGACCCTTCCCTTCACAAGAACTAATTTAAAAATTCTATTGAAGTATTTTGTTGGGTTGGGGAGAGGGGATATCAATACATTGACATTAAAGAATTGTGTTCTCACCCGACACCTCAAACCCAGGCCCACTCCCACCCCAAGCTCCATCTCAGCATTGATGGCTGACCATTCAGTCACTATCTCCCATTCCTTGGAACTCTCTCCTAACATCACTTCACCTCACACTCTCTCCCCGCTTTAAAACCCTTTTGAAAACTTAACCTTATGACCATACTTTCAGTCACCCTCCTCCAATCCTTCCCTTCACTTCCCATCTTGCTTTATGATCCATACTGTTGCTGTCCATAATATACTGTTAAATGCTTAGAGACATTTATTTTCCTGAGTGAAAAGTGCTGCATATGTTTTGCAGAATACCTTGACTACTGGATCACATTCATTTGCAATCTCTGTAAAGATACCACGCCAATGCACCGTGTGGTTCTGGTTGGGACTTTTTCAAATGACTGTAGAAATGTGAGTATTGCTATTTAATTCCTCGCCATTGAATTGAGTTATTCAGCACTTCACCCAAGCCTACGGCAGGAGCAGACTTGAATGACGTTTCCATCTTGTGTTAATGGGCCTTCAATTCAGGAAAGAGGTGAGAAGGAAGAAAGGAAAGCCCTAATTTAAAGTGGGAGGATAATGCTACAACTGTGGTGACTTTAAAGAGAGTATAAGAATTTTAAAGAGATAAATTCCTGGCGAATAACAATCCCCTTTCTAATAATATTAATTCTTATATTTGCTACAGCGCCTTTCACATTCGGAGGACGTCTCAAAGTGCCTCGCAGAATAATAATAATAATAATAATAATAATAATAATCCTTGCATTTGATATAGCGCTTTTCACGTCAGGAGGACGTCCCAAAGCGCTTCACAGAACACATTGTAAAGTGAATTGACTGTATATTTGTGGGCGAACGCGGCAGCCAATTGCGCACAGCAATGTCCCACAAACAGTCGTAGATTGAAAATGACCAATTTAATTATTGTTTTGGGTTTTTTGGAGGGATTATTATTAGGCTCTGTGTGGAGTAAGGAAACTTGCCCAAGGTTTCGCCCTCTGCCTGGAATTGAACTCAGGTCTCTCACTTGCAAAGCGAGTGCTCTAACCACTGAGCTACAGGACTCCACAATTTCCTACAGAATTTCCAGTAAAGAGTAGTTAAAGTGTATTTTTTAGACAACCATGGCTAAATTGCACATAGCAATTTCCCACAAACAGCTGTAAAGTGAGTGATCAATTTTACATGGGGCAATATTGACCAGGAAACTGGGAGAAAATCTCTTCAGTTCTAAGTAGTGCCATGGGATCTTTAATATCCACCTGAACAGGCACTGATGGGACCTCAGTTTATCTTCTCATTTGAAAGATGTGAGATGAAACACATAACCTCCATTTATACTGTAAATGTCTATGGAGAACTTGGCAGGTTACAATCCTTCCGCAGAAGAAGAAAGACCAGTGCTGTCTTTCTCCTTCACTGGACAAACTAGTGCCTCACATAGGTCTTTTTGGAATAACAGAATTGACCACTCTTTCTGTCGTTTTTCAAGAAAAGGATAAATGTTGCCCTCGATGGAAGTTAATGGCAGTTAACACTGTACCTCTCAGGGTTTCACTCTGATTAATTTTCTGTGTCTTTTTCTCTGCTGTTGTACCCAGGCTGAGGAAGCTTTGAGCACGGTTTATGACTATATTCAGGAGCATTTCCCGCCTGACGTACTTCATGCTCAGAGATTTGCAGTTGACAACTCTGTTGAACAGGACCAGGAGAACGGATACGCACAGCTCCGCTCAGCTATTGATGGACTAGCTGGGCAGGTTGCATTTGAAGATAAGATTGCAGTGTCTCATGCCAGTCTGTATTATCATATTCTAAACTGTAGTGAAAAATATTTCCTGTGCTCCAATATGTACTCATCCTGGTATGAGATAATGGGGAGCCCCCACGGAGTAGAGGTGAGCAGCGTTGACAAGAAGCAGGTGGTGAAAGCTGCACTTGACATTTTAAATTGCATGAAATTTGCTTACTACTCCGACCCTGTTCTGATCTTGGATCCCCAATGGCTCACAGATCTCATGGCTTCTTTGATCCCCATCAACTGCACGCTGCCTCCTCAGATACAAAAGGCCACATTTTCTATCCAGCGGGAATGGATGAAACTCGTCAACACTGGAAAATTTTCAGAAGATTTGCTGCAGTATCTTTGGTCAGAAGAAACGCTCAGATTCAGGGACGAGCTGCTTGAGATCCTGAAAGAGCTGAAATTAATCGTGCATGTCAGTCCACAGTCAAAACGCTACTATCTTTGGCTCAAGCGTAAACACAGGGAGATGGTCCTGTGCTTTAATGAAAACCAAACTTGGAGCGTTTTCCGAAAGGACATTTTCAATGAACTCATACCCAGCTTTCAGGAGGAGTGGCCCTACATTGAATCCTTGGAGGATAATGCTGTCCAGCTGGCAAAGGTACAGAATGCCGACTACAAGATAAAGTTGGAGCTCAAGCCCGATAGAGTGCTCCTGGTAAATCAGAATGAGTTTGAAAGTGACGATTTTATATGCAAAACTGGTTCCATTGTTGAGGAAATGCGAAGAAAGTACCCCACACTCTGCTTGTTTGTGGACGGGAGACTATACAAAGGTAACTAGTATTAAATACATTTATAATCTTTATAGTGTTTTATGTAACACTCTTACGTAAAAGATGCTTCATAAATGCAGGTTGTTTTGTAATACTGTGATGACTATAATAATATTTACATTCACATTTATGATAATTATCCTTACGTTTGGTGTAAGGAGGATGTCTCAAAGCGCTTCACAAGATATGTTATAAAGTATAGTGATTGTGTTCTCAGATCTAATGTATCTATCTGTGATGCATTAGAGGAAATGAAGTGAATTGTGAACTCCCTGTCTGATGTTTTACCTGTGACAATAACATCACAGCTGATGAACAATAATAAAAACATTGGTTGGCTTCGATCAATCACCCAAGTAAAATGTAAACAAAAAATTTCAAGCTTCCTCATTGCATATTATACTTATATCTAATGAGTGTGTAAAACATTCTAATTGATACCACAGCCACCAGCTGCCCTCCAGCAGATCGACCCAATGGCCAGTTTCCATGCATCACCCTAGCCAGCAAGGGCAGCCACATATCCAATGATATAAAATTGTCCGCTTCATGACTGTTTGTGGACCATTGCTGGTTGATTATTATTATATGGTGTATGTGTGGGGGGGGGGGGGGGAAGGAAATCACATCCAAGACCAATCATGTTCTTGTCCCACAACTACACACGCAATCCAGGAGGACATGCTTGATAGCAATAACCAGAAACAAGAGCCCTGGCTGATTTCCCCACTTTAGTCAAAGTCTGGTCTAATCCCTCTGATAAGAGAATATTAAAGGATGTGTCTTATAAAATGTTATTACACGTTGAGATCAAAATAAAACCTCTGATATATTAGAGTTCTAACTTGTAGTATTTCTTAAGGGGATTCATTAATGAGGATTTTAAGTTGTGCAAATGGATATTCCTATCAGTTACAGACTCCCTAACTCCCAGGATCTCTCCAGTCTATTTCTGGAACGGAGTTCCCGAGAGCTGACAGGAATTGTAACAGGATTTCTTAATACAAAATACCACATATTGGACATTATCTTTGCTTTATTTAAATCACAAATCACTAGGACATTGTGACAAAATAATATAAACAATACAGATAAAGATCACTTTGAAATTAAAATGCATGCTGCATAATAAAATTTATCCCAATTATTCATTTCTAATTTTGTGTGTGTGTATCTTTGTGTGTAGCGTTTGAGCTCTTCCTTCAGGTCAGACAGAGTGTAAGAGAGAGAACAGAGGCAGTGACTGCAGTGAAGATCTTCGTAGATGATCAGCCGGAAAAGCAGAAAGATATTTTCTTCAGAGACCAGTCCATTAACGTCAGGTTTGACATAACAGCAGAGGAAATGGTGCTGAAGATTGAAGAAAGAATGCTGATAAAAGCTTTGGGAGAAGTGAACCGATTCCATGGGCCTAAAACAGAGGAAGTGTGCAAAGAAAAACTCCAACTTCTACCTGGTAAATATCTTATCAGTTATTTCCAAAGTGAATGGTGCAGTAGGATGGTCTATTTTGCACTTAGGTGTCAGCTTGGCTCAGGTAGTAATAATAATGCATTGGATACAGCGTCTTATCACATCTTCGGGCCATTTCAAAGTGAGAGGATTTACTATTGAGTGTAATGATTGCATATTTTGGGGCAATTGTTGGTCAGGACATCGGGAGAAACTTCCTTCTCTTACTGAATTGCACCATGGAATATTTAACATCCACCTGAGCAGGCAGATGGGACCTCGGGTTAACAACTCGTTTGAAGGACAGCACAGTGTTTAGACCCCGTTGTTTGGTCCAAACCAGCTTGGATTTCTGGTTGTGGGACTGCACAAGTATTGTGTTCCAATTTCATGCCCAACTAACAAGTAAATGATTTCTGGTGATCAGACACCCTTTGTTGAAATCTAACCATAGTTTTTGTACTTCCTCTATACAGCGGTTCATTTTCTTCCCAAAGGAAAAGAGCTTGTAAGAAACCTGTGTGAGCTGTTGAGGGAATTGCACAAGAAATCTGTCACATTGAACTTGGAGAGCAGGAAAAGTGCCATCAGTAACATGCAAAATACACTTCACTGTTGTGTTATCCAGTGCATGTTAGACACAGCAATCCCAGGGGAACCCGTGGACTACAGCGAATCTCAAACTCTAGATGTTTTTGAAACGGTTGCAAAAGCTCACCCTGAAATTCCAGAGAGTGCTATCAGAGATATCCTCCAGGTTCAGGACTTCCCTGTCGAAGAAGAATTCTACATACCCGAGGATTTCAAGGAGAAACTCACTATAAGCATACACCGTTTGTTTTGGATTGTAAAGCTGGTCTTTGTTAAACTTACAGGCAAGAGCTTTATTTCAAAAAAACACTTTCTTCTTTGATCTCTTACTTTTATGTGCATCTCCCACTCTCTCTCACTGCTAAAATGGCAAGATATTTAATAACATCAAAATAATGAGCTAAATAATAAACAAGATGTGGTTTATAATTTCATGCTTTAACAGGAGCAGTAACTAGCAATAGTAATATTAACTAATAGAGGTAGCAGTAACTACTAATAGTAACTTATAACTAGAAACTAGCAACAGTCCCAGTGCTTTGGGACGTCCTCCCGACATAAAAGACACAATACAAATGTAATTTGTTGTTGAAATGGCAACAGTAACTGGTAATAAGAAATAGTACCTCTGCCCCCCTTCCACTCCCACACACATTTTTTTTCAGATCCACTGATACAACTTCACTGATACAACGAGAGTCCTGTACCTCAGTGGTTAGAGCGCTCGCCTTGCAAGCAAGATACCTGGGTTCAATTCCAGGCAGGGCGAAACCTTGGGAAGTTTCCTTACTCCATACGCCTAAAATCCCTCCAAAACAAAAACAATAATTGTTTTTTTCGTTTTCATTCATTTTCAATCCACGACTGTTTGTGGGACATTGCTGTGCGCAATTGGCTGCCACGTTTCGCCCACAAATATACAGTCAATTCACTTTACAGCATATTCTGTGAAGCGCTTTGAGATGTCGAGAAGACGTGCAAAGCGCTATATCAAATGCAAAGATTATTATTATTATTCATACACTGATTGACACACTGCATTCTCTTTTCCTCAAAAGGGAAAAGCTTGAAAGAGAAATACCTGGAGGAAACGATTAGTAATCTGTACTTTAAAGACTACGCGTGGTTCATGAAAAATGAACAGGAACTTGGTGAACTGAGGGACGAACTAGATACATTCAAGAAAAAAAGATACAAGCAACAGAAAAAAAACTACGGAGGTAAGAAACCATGAGCTGCGATTTCTTACAGTTCATTGCATCCGGTATTTAAAATAATGAAAGGATTCATTAAGATGGATAGTAAAAGGCTGTTTCCACTTGTTGGCAGGTCCACAACAATGGGGTGTAAATATAATATAGGCAGTGGTATCACAGAGCTATGGGGTGAATATGGTGCAAAATTGAATTCAGCAAACCCAGTGAATTATCCAACAACGTTACAAGAAGTAACAGAAAGTGAATTCATAATTATCTTTGCATTTGATATAGCATTATCACATAGTCAAGACACCTCCAAACTCTTCACAGGATTTAAGTGAAGTATAGTGACTGTATTTTGCAGCTGACGGCAGCAACCAATTTGTTCACAGTAATGTCCCACACACTTCCCATGAAGTAAACAATCAGTTTTATCTGGGGGATTGTAAGCTGGGACACTGTGAAAAACTCCTTTCTCTTTTCAAATAGTGTCATGGGATATCAATATCTACCTGAACAGACAGACAAGTCCTTGGTTTAATATTTAAATTAAATTCTGTTTAGCGTTCCTCCAGTCTGGAGTGCTCGACTAGACTGTAGGCTCAGATTCTTGACGTGTGGCTTGCATCCACAAACCTTCATAGTTGGAAGCAAGTGCTACAAACCTAGCCATGCTGCTACTCTTCAGCAATGGTAGAAGTAACTACTTTACTTTGTTTAATATATAATTCTGTGGTAGCTTTGGAGCAAAACTCAATTGAATTGAAGGAAATTCCTCTATTTTGAAGTTTAAATCACATTCCTGGGAAATCCTTCTGCTAACTGAAAGTGTGTCACATTGTGTTAGAATTCTGCTCCAACTTGTTCGACTTCTTGAGCGAAGTTCTCTCAGATCTTTGGGATTTCTAACAAGATTCCTTATTTAACAATCCTAGAAATGCCACAAAATATGACCTTCTCAATAACTCATTTTCAACTACAGTAGGAAATAATCGATAATCCTTTTGTCCATCCACCAAAACATTGGCATATTTGCTCTATGGAGAATACGAATAAAATTGTTATTTGAAGTGAGTGTTGGATTGAACTTGTCATTAATTTATGCTTGCTTGGCTTGTCAGAATGGATTCAAAGCAACTACAGCAATTTTGTCCAGAAAATGGGAGAAGGTGTTCGCAAAACTATAGTGGATAAGCTTTTTCAGAACTGTCTGAATGATGAAGAAGTAAGCATCATGTCATCTAAAAACACCTTGCAAGACAGGAATCGAGAACTGCTGGAGATACTAAAGGGCAAAGGAGATATAAGCTGCAAAGCGTTCCTTAGCTTTTTCTGTAGTGCGGACCCTTGCAGCGAAATGACTACAAAGGTAAGTCAAGTAACAATAGTAACTCACTGGAGTAAGCTACTTGTAACTTGGTAAATGTGTAATTTTACACATTTCCAATACAAAATGTGTCTCATAGACAGATGAACAAATAACCATTGAAAAGGTAATTGGTCACATATTTGAAGAAAAGCAAGGGAAGAGCAGGGAATATGATTGAACACAACTAACTAATGTTTACTATAAATGGCTATTTTAAGATCACAGGATCAATTGGTATGAAGAAGGTCCTTCAATTTGATGTCGTCCTTCCAGAACGCCCACCCTACCAACACAGCATCAAGCTATTTTTTTCAAATATATAAACAATTCCAGGATCCTGGCCTGAACCATCTTTCCTAGTAACCTGTTCTAGTCATAAGTTACTCACAGGTTAAATAAATACTTCCTGGTGTCTGTCCTGAAATTGCCCTTTGCAACTCAATCCCTGGTTCTCATGTTCCACGTTCTCCTTTACCAGAGGCAAAGTAAACAGCATGATGCAGCACATAGCTGTTACAGTGCAATTATATAAAAGGTTAATTGTCACTTGTACAGTGAATTTATGAGGTGCAATTCTGCTGGTTGGTTGGTTGGTAGGTAAACTTAGAACCTTAGTGATGTGCACATAAAATGGGGCTCCCCATTTTGGCATTCTCAAGAAAGTGGGTTAAACATTTACCTACCTAGAATCCAAATAATTGAGCTTTTTTTAAAATAAATACTACTAATATTAAAACAATACTAATGCCAATCTCTTCACGGCATCCATGGTACCCAAATATGGTCTGTATATTTGCAGATTATTAAATAACACTATTTTTCTCCTTATAGATACAAACTGAATTAAATCTCTGATATGCTGCTGAGCTCAAACATGTGGTTTCTGGAATCCAGGTGTGATATGAAGAAAAACTCCAATTGAGGTTTTTGGATTAAATGGCTCGATTCAGTGCTGGAGCATTCTGTCTTGGAACTTGCTGGCAACTCAGTGAAATTAACTAGTCATAATTCAGGGAAGACTTGGCAGAGAATTTTGAACTTCTAGCGCCATGTAACTGTTCAGGAAATATTTTGTGGGAATAAACCGTGGAGAACTTAAAAATGTGCAGCGATACATATCTTAATATCCATGCATGAGGTGGATATTGACCCGGTTTAATTAGACCATCAGATATTGTACCCATTAACATCAGGCTTTGCAAATTCTCCAATATAAAGTTCTCTTTAAATGCAATGTAACTGTTTAATAGGTATCTATGAACTATTCTGATTGGAACCATTGTATTAATATTGCTTAATGTTCTGTATATTAAATTCAATGAATGTGATATTGTTCGCTCTGTAACATTTATTTTTAACACACAATAAAAGTTAAAACATATTGTTCCTCCTTTCTAAAATTGTACATTTTACTGCAATGCAGTGCTGGGCAAGGGGAGCTCTACATTGTTATAAAACGCTTTGTAACACTATTAAGCATTGTTATAAAGCACTTTGTGGAGTCCTGGAGCTCAGTGGTTAGAGCACTCGCTTTGCAAGCGAGAGACCTGGGTTCAATTCCAGGCAGGACGAAACCTTGGGCAAGTTTCCTTACTCCACACACCTGATAATAGTCCCTCAAGAAAAAAACACAATAATAATTTGGTCACTCAATCCACGACTGCTTGTGGGACACTGCTGTGCGCAATTGGCTGCCGCATTTCGCCCACAAACATACAGTCAATTCACTTTACAGTATATTCTGTGAAGCGCTTTGAGATGGCGAGAAGATGTGAAAAGCCCTATATCAAATGCAAGGATTATTATTAGTAGTAAGAGTACCCTGTGTGAGGGGCACTATATAAATGCAAATTGTTATTGTTTGAGGTGCTGTTCTGCAGATATAATGTTAAACCAAAGTCCCACCTGTCTGTTTAGGTGGATGTTAAAGATCCCACAGCAATGTTCAAAAAGAGGAATTTCTTTCAGTGTCCTGGCCAACAATCCATCAGATAAAATTAGATATTCACTTCATAGCTATTTGTGGGATACTAAACTCGCACAAATTGTCAGCTGCATTTGTCTGGAATTACGCAATACACTTTCCAGTAAATCCTGTGAAGTGTTTTCAGGATTTCAACAGCGTGATAAGGTGTTCTATCAAATGCAATGTTATTATTAGACTGAAAACTGTGAGAACAAAACTGATAGCACTTTAGAGCTATTAGAGTAGAGTAAAAAGGTCACTTTAACGGATAGCGTTGGTTGACTGAGACATTGAAATTTGATGTTTTAATAGTAGAAGGCACAATAGGTTAGTGTATTTAGCACAAAAATGCATTATTTCTCATTGGATTTTAAATTACAAAATCTACTGAATACAACTGGGAGAAATGACAGAATAAACATTCTGCTCTTCTTTCACAGGATCTTTAAAGTCCTGTTGAACCAGCAGAAGATGACAAAATCTTAAGGTTTATTATCAGAAATTTCATCTTTCACTTCATTCTTTGAACTAAAGTAGCTGCTATCTGTTAGATTGGACTTTAACAATCCTATGGCACTGTTCAAAAAGAGAAGGGAGTTCCTCCCGGGTGTCTTGGTAATCAGTATGTTTACCTGACAGTCAGTATGTTTACCTGACAGTCAGTATGTTTACCTGATGACTTGTGAACCACTTTGAGACATTTCAATGAGAAAAATGCAAATTCAGTCTTTCTTTTAGTAAGCCACAGTGCATATTTTTTTCTACATAGCAGTCCGCATAAGCCTGTATATAACTGGTGAATTTTTCAGGGCTTTTAATGATTCTCAACCTACTTTACAAAGAAAATCATAAAGGGCTTACATCCAGTGTACCATTCATTTATGGTTACCCACAGGATAACTTACCACTCCCAAGGCCATTTCCTGTGCAAGGGAAAAGGTTGATTACTGCCACTTACTTCTCAAATTTTGTAAACTTGAAAGAAGAAGCTGCGTTTAGAGCAACTCAAAGCTGCGCTCCATACTATTCATTCATTTTTTTTGGGTGGAGTGCGGGAACCCACAAGTCCTTGTAAATATTTGGAGCACAATATAAAGAGATATTTATGGCTCCTACGTTATTGTTGAAACAGAGATCTGTCCATTTTAGTTCGTACCAGACAAATTCATTTTTCATGCATTAAATACCTGAAAATGACTGGCAGTCAGTTGCAAAATGTAAATAAAGATCTGCCTGAACAACTACAGAACAGCTGGAGTGGACCTATTCCTATAAGGTAGTAAGATTTCCATTTAGAGAAAAATATCACAAGGCGTGGACCATCCTCAATCACCCTGAGATAATGGTGGTGGGACCTCTTCTTTAAAAATCAGTTTTGTTTTACAGTAAAGTGAATGTTTTCTCAATCATTGCTTTAACTGGCTCAATATTTACTGGAGTCCCTTGCAGCTTTATTCAAGGCTGCAACATTTTTCCTAAAAGAAAAACAGTTGTGCCTCCTCACTTGTAATTGTTCTGCATAAGTCTATATAAGCACCGAGTCACATTCAACCCTCATCTTCCATGTATACCTTTAAATTACAATGTGGTTGCCCTTACTTGCTCTTAATAAATTTGGTAGCTTGGAAAAGATCACACTTTAGTGGGAGTTGATCATTCCAAGTGTACTTTATTCCAGACTTGTTTTTATTAGCCCACAACAAGTTTCAGAATTCCTCCTGATAAATTGGAATGGGTGCCAGATTTCTTGCACAATTTGGTGCAAGGATCGTAAATAGGCCTTAAAGTCTCATCAAGTTACCAGAAGGCTAATAATTTAATTGTATTTCTTATCATTTGGTTATTGTACTAGATCTAACAGAGGTGACAGCCTGGTTCAGTGGGTAGTAGCACCTCTGAGTCAGAAGATTGTGGGTTCAAGCTCGATTTTGATACTGTGAATGGAGCACCTAAGCAGTGCTGGGGGAAGTGCCTCAGTCTCTGAGGCGCTGCTCTTCAGTTAATATGTTAAACTGAGAGTTCATCTGCCCGATCAGAATAAAGATCCCATGGCACAATTTGAAAGAAGGAAGTTTCTTCCATTGTCCTCGTCAATTATCCCACTAAACAAAATGATGGTCACTCACTTCATAGCTGTTTGCAGGATGTTTCTGTGTGCAAAATGGTTCTATGTTCACCTACAAATATAAATGCTCAGTCACTGTACAGTAAAAACCTGTGAAGAACTCTGAGTCATCATGATGATGTGGTAAGGCATTTTATCAAGTTCAAGAATTGTGATGTTAAATTATCATATTTATCATATCATATTCACCTCATGTCTCCCAGTGTCATAGATCCCCTCATCTGAGATCTATCTCATTACATCCAAGTGTTGGGAGGAAAGCTATAAATGCAGAAGCAAAGAGGATGCCTTCAGGCCAATATTCGCCTCTAAATTCTCATTTTCCAGACTTTCAATTGACTTTTTCAAAAATGAACTACTGTGAGATGAAGTGTAAAACCACTTCGACCTTTTGGAGTGAAATTGTTGACAGCTAGGGGTTTTTATCGGGAGTTGGTATAGCATGATGTATAAATATCAACTGTCATTCTCTGCGGACGTGAGAAACCACATCCTTGCCACTTCAAACTGTGCAGCTAAGTGTTGCATCAGATAGTTTTGCCTGGGAGTGTCGGCAAACTTCTCTCATGGTGACATTTTTCAATTTTAAAATGACTGAGAAACAACTTTGAATCAAGAGAGAGATCCAGGGAGATAAATATTCTTTTTCTAACACATTTGTAGTATGTCGAAGGTAAGTACTTACTTGGATTTGAAACTTAACATGAAACCAAAATACTGCACAATTGTCTGTTGCTGTTTACACAGAGGATGGTGAATATGTGGAATAGATCACCCAGTGGAGGTGCTGCCGGCAGATTGTGTCAATAAATTCAAGAGGAAATTCAATAGCTAGTTGTCAAAGAATTCAGTTGAGAGAAGGAGCATTATAAGATTGCAGTTATTCATTTTTGACTTTGGGAGCAGCCAGTTGGATAGCAATGGCTTCTTCTATTCTCTTTTACATTCCTATGTTTTCACAGGTTAGCTTGATCATCTACAGCGATGATTTTTCATTACATTGCAACACTTCTCATCATGAAGTGGGATTAAAGGAGGATCATGCAACAATTATAAGTTTCAGAGGTTTTCCAAACAATCCAGAAATTAATTGGTTTAAAAGTACTACAGCAGTCTCAAAATGCAAGAGCTGTTTTTTAAAAAACAATTAGTATGTGTGACATTATTTGATCTTAAAAGCCACTCTAGGCAACCCATGAGATGATTCTATTCGATTTGCGTTGCTATTTATGCAAGCTTTTCCTTATCAAAGGCTGAGTTATTAGTTTATGGCTTGGGTTCTTGATTCCTGACAGCACCAATGCTGCACAATTGCTCTGGACCTTCAGTGCCATAATCCAAGGTTCAGTATGTGGTGATATTGAGGGTGGAGCTTCCTCAGTGATGTACAGACCTTTGAATCAATACAATTATACAACAACAACAACATTTCTATAGCACCCTTCATGCAGGGTAGGGTCCCGGAGCGCTTGAGAGTGCCGGAGTCTGACCCCGAGCCAGTGGGAGAGGGATGGGGGAGGTGACCGTAAGCACGATCAAAAAGGAAAGGTAGGAAATGAAAGTGGGGAGGTAGGGTGCAAGGCGGAGGGATTGAGGGAAGGAGTTCCAGAGTTTCGAGGCATAGTGGCTGAAGGCAAGGCCACCGATGATGGAGCAGAGGGGACGAGGGATGAATAGGAAGGTCGGAACCAGCCAAGTGGAGGCAGTAGGGGAGGGCATGAGGGGTAAGCAAATCGGATAGGTAAAGAGGTGCAAGGGCAAGAAGGGATTTGAAAACGCATGAGAGAATCTTGAAATCGATCCATTCAGTATTTGGGAGCCAGCGGAGCCTGGAAGGAACTGATGTGATGGGGAGACGGAGTTTTGTGCAAGTGAGAATCTGTGCAGGGGAGTTCTAATGAGTTGAATTTTGTCTATTGTGGAGCTGGAAAGACAACAACATTTTATATAGTGCCCTCCACACCAGATGCTGTCTCACCAGCGGCGAGACCAGCGAGGAGGGCATTGGAATAATCCAGCCAGGAAGTGAGGAAGGTGTTGACAAGGGTTTCAGCTGCTTTTGTCGTGAGGTACAGACAGAGGCAGGCAATATGTGGAGTGCTGTAGCTCAGTGATTAGAGCACTCGCCTCGCAAGTGAGAGACCTGGGTTCGATTCCCAACAAGTTGCAACATTGGGCAAGTTTTCTTACTCCACCTAACAGTAAGTAGGTACCCAGTTGTTAGTCGATTGGCGGATTGCTTTTCTCGGGGTAATAATTCCGTCAAAAAAATGATAATAAGAATTTGGTC